GGAAACAGGGTGTTATGACAATATATGTTCTCTTTAGTTCTCGAGGAGCTTTTGCACGCTTTATGGCGGTGGGGGGCGCTGTGCTGGTGTAGTGTTAGTCTTTTGGTTTAGGTTGGATCCGGGAGATGGGGGGTGGGGGTTAGGTTAAGGGGAGGTGGGGGTAGGTTAGGGGAGAACAGGATGGAGGGTGGACGGACTGGCTGAGAAGGGGCAGACGTAGTCGAGGTAGAACTCGAGGGTGTGAGGGGGCGGGTCGGAGGGGGACGTGGTCGTGGCATCGTCGGTGAAGACGAGGCGGTGGCCTTTGAACTTGGGTGGGAGGGCCATTTTGTGATGGGTTGTCTTCAAGTCTGAGTTGTCTAAATGTGTAAGCGTAGGGAAGCAAGTTGCGAAACGCAAGTACTAGGGGAGGGAATGTATAAAGATATCATGACAGAGTCAGAGACAGTGAATCCGGCAATGCTCGACAGAGCCCCGTGGAATGATGCAATTAACAGCAGCTTACTTACACAACGACAGCAATAAGCAGGTACGAAGGTTAAAGTGGGGGAAGAGGGGCAGGCCTGCGAGTCTCCAACCATGGAACCTTTCCTAAAGTGAGAGTGGGTTTATTATCGAAGTACAATGCTCATCCTCTTTTTAAATGGCAACTTGAACTTGATACATTTACAAATATTTAAAACGATGAATGTCAAAACTATGCCTGTTAAGCTCCCCCCTAGAAGTCGTGTGTATACCTGACTAGTCAAAACGGCAAAAGCAACCAACGTGAAGAGGAGCGCGGGCAAATAGTGTTAATGGCATGGAAAGGTCCGCTTTTCGCTTCTTCTTCCTCACTCCCGCTCCACTCCCTGCACCCGAAAAACATCCTCCCCAGAAATACCGCGGACGATCATCACATTATCGGGCAAGGTCTTGGACAACGCCTGACTGTCAGGATTGAGTCTCTTAACAGTCCCGGAGGTTGCCGTTGGTCGCGGTCCCGGGGTGTTATCGGCGGGTTCTTCGCCTCTTTGGTCGCTTCTGAACAACCACGACTCGTCCAACTCCAGATACTGCTCCCGGTCTCGCCTAGCCCTCGGAGTGTTCCACTGACTACTATCTTCGGACGAAGTGTGTCGTATCTTCTTCCTCTTGCTGACAAAATAAACCCTCACAAACTTGGAGAATCCAGGCATCGAGCTGACGATGATGGTAATGTGCAGTTCAACCACACTATAGGAAAACTCTGGTTAGCTGATTCGGTCTCTTCACGCCCGTACCGGGACTCACCTGCACAAAAGCACAATGGCAGCTTTCCAAGACTTGTCTGGCGAGTTCGCCCACAACCGAATTCTGTACACCAGCGATACGGTTGTAGCGATGACGGCCCTGGACCAGAAAGCATCAGCAACTGCTCTCGCCCGACAGTCGGCGGTTGGTTTGTCCTCACAAAAGCCCTACCGAAAATACCGCCAGCGCCTTAAGCCGTTTTCTTGTCGGCCAGCTGAGTCTCGCAACAACAGGGACCGGCAGCAAGAACATGTACAAATCTAACACGAGATACAGTATCGAAGCCGCAGGAGACCAAACCACCATATGGTCGAATTTCAACGCCACATCATCCCAGGACTGCCCTGGCCTCGGAATATCGTCCAAACATTGGGAGACAAAACTGACTATCGCAACAATACAAATCACCGCCATCCCGATACGGATAGCGATTCTCATGCCGCGCTCAAGGGTAAAAATCTGGTGTAGCAACAAGAAGATTGATGTTTTGGCCATTACCGTCGCCATTATGGTAATCAGCGACCGTCCGAAACGTAACTACCGTCAAGGATTTCGGTGAATCTCAACCCTCGAGTAATTCGTTTAGCCAGGGAACCGACCTACCTTGACCGTATCACCAAGGAGCCAGCACAGCGGGATATCCCACTGATGGCGCGCAAGATGAAGTTCTGGCCACCTCGCACCATTAACAGCCAGAAGACCAGAGAATATATCAGGACACTCACGAAAGAACATCAAAGTCGTCTCCGTGACAGCAAACACAAGTCCTGCTGTACAGCAATCTGATATACGTATTAGCCGCCGTGTCATCATGTGAAGGAAGCTGTTTCTCTGTGGAAACGTACAATCGCTCCATGCCAGCTGTTTTCTGTTTACGTACAGCCTTCCGCCCGTGGTGACGAGAGCCGTGGCCATCATAAAGCTACAAACTGCGATGATAGCCGGGACGAGAGCCCCGCGGTCGGAAAAGTCCGACACCTCGCCCTCCGGTGGTTCGGCCGCTGGGAGTGTACACCGGTCAACGTTTACTATGTCGTCTACCATGCTGTTTTGGGGAAATTATTAACTTGGTTAAAGAGTCCGCCAGGATGAGAACCCAACGGCGGTGGAAGCGTGCTTGACTTTCATGAAGCAAGTGATGGGGGACGAAGGTGTGCACATACTCCTCCTTAAAACGCCATGGAAAGCCTTAGTGCAGCCATCCTGCGCCGTTTCGAGGACCACCGGAGCACTGTCGAAGATCAGGTCTGCTTTCCAGGATGGCTTCGCTGTTGTTTGTCGCCCCAAATCTTAGCCCGCTGAAGGTGTGACCCACGATAAACCATGGCTCGGCGAATCTTGCACTTTGAAGAAGTGGCGGTTCTGAACCACTTACGGCGCCGTCCTGTCCGCCACATGCCGGTATTGTTTGCCCTCTTAGCCTTGTTTAGCAGCCAGGGCCGAGACAAGGGATAGGCGTCGTCACCTTCGGTTCCGGCGGACGCCATAATGTGCCTTTCTTCTGTGGACGTCCATCAAGGGCCAGAAGCCTTCCGGCTGGGATCATCCCCGGTAAGCGCGGGGGAGATAGTGGCCACAGGTACCTCTTACTTAGATGATTCTTGGAACACCTGCTTGGTATTTCTGGCCATTGCCCATTCGCATGCATCGTGGACAGTGCGACATGACTTACTGATGCTCAAAGCGAGGACCTGATTCCTGGCTTCACATGACTTATCTCCTTTTGAACCCAGTAGTAATTTGCCGCGAGCGAGGGTGAGACTCATGGACCCATGGGCCTTTCGAATATCGGGTCATTTGGGGGTTGTGTTCAACGATGGTGTAACGAAGTTTGATGAGGAGCTTCGCATGGCTGAACGCAACACAAGCACAGTCAAAACCTGGGTCGTGACAAAAGACCAATACACCGAAAAGAACAATACACCGTGGGAGAAGAATCCATTTCCACCTGGCATTATCCATGCGTTGCCCCTGAAACAAAGACACTGTATACTCAAACTAAAAACATATGGTGAACATTGCAGTACAGAATAACAGTACATTTTCCCCATTCTCAGTATCGGTAAGCTCTCTGGCCCAACCTTGTTTGGCGAGATAGGAGTCTTAGCCCTTTACCACCCAAATGAATTGTCATGAAACCCCGGTCGACGGTTCTCAAGCGCACATCTCGACTCATCATGAATATCACTTCCCACACCCCGCCCCCAAGCCGAACGTCCATCCGCCTCATCATCTTCGTAGAGATACAAAGTAGAACTCCAGTCATCATCTGAATCGAACTCGTCACGGGTCGGAGCCAGGTTCAGGTTGAAGTACCCCTGGGCCAACACCCGGTTGAAGGCGGCAGCCTGTTGCCTTTTCTGCTTCTCATGTTGTTCGTTGCTCCGGGATGACCAGGACTTCGAGAGCCAGGCACCCATTCTGGGAAGGGTTTCGGGAAGCTTGGCCCACTGGGCCTGCTGCCATGCCCTGATATGAGCGATGCTCTGCATATTGGACGCCATTGGAACTCACGGGATTGGTCTTAGAGAAACGGGGATGCTGGATCGAGAGATCAAGATGGTCATCCTGTCTGCTTATGTATATCCCTAGAGGAAACCGGGCATGATTTATCAACAATAAGTGTCAGCAGACAAAGCATTGTGGTGAAACAGGCTGGCTGAGTGTTGTCAGTTTCTTTGTGGTTGTGACCTAGACAGCCATTGACTACTAACACACAAGTTTGGGTGTCTGTAAGCCACAGCAAACAACTAAACGCCTGGTGTCTGGGTTGTGACAACTCATACTCATCTGTTGGACAAGTATGATGGCGGTAAGCCAACCATTCCTCTGTCACTACCACGTCCCCGTCTCACAAAAGGGGTTAGAAAAAGGAATGAGATGTGGTCTCTATTAGCCAGGGGGAGCATAAGCCATCATAGCCAAACCCACTTTCATTCGCGAATCCAACAAGTTCCAACCCTAATCAAAAAGACCAATACACCGTGGCCATCATGCACCCAAATCCAAGCATCCTCAAACAGCCCCGTCCTACGAACCCTCACCACGCGTAACCGTCACCGTCTCAAACGTGCCGGGCACAGTCAACGTAACAGTTTCGACCACCCCATCCCAACTTGTCGTCACCGCCCCGGCCCCCGCAGCGCCCTCCCCCGACGAAGAAGACCCAGACCCAGCAGCGGCAGTAGCGGTAACAGTAGCAGTCGCCCCCCCACCCTCCCCTCCACCCTCATTATTACAAACAAACCCATTCAGCACCCCCACATCCGTCCTCACCGTCCTACAGGCATCACCGCTTCGATGCATATCCTCCGGCAGATCGAGGTAGTAGTAATACCTGCCCGAGCTGCTGCTGCTGCTGCTGCTGCTGCTATCGCTGCCTCCAGAGCCTAGGTCGGCGGGGCACGCCTAGAAGTCGCGGCGTGAGTCGTTGTAGACTAGGTGGCCGTATTCGTCGAGCGCGAAGAGCGGGGCGGGATAGGCGGGGGGTTGGAGGGAGCAGACGACGGCGGTGGATGGTTCTGGGGGGTGGGTCGGTGCTAGTTAGAGGACTGTCTTTTGGGCCGGGGGGTGGGACGTGTAATGGGGGGGGAAGTGGCAGAAACACTAGCTCACTTGGTGATATGGGCGTGCGAGAGGTATGGACGTCGCCGGGGGCAAGAGGTGGGTGCTTACCGGGCCACCAACACCCTCGTAGGCCTGTGTCATACAGTCCGCCACCCCTGAGATGGAAGATTGTGGCTGGGGATTCGGCGGACGAGCCCTGACCTTTTGCAATGCCGACCACCTGGCCGCCCTCTACCTGTCCGAGGATGTTGCCCTCTGCAACGAGACTGAAGATGCAGTTTTGGGGAGTGTTCTGGGCTAGAAGTAGAACTGCCCAGCTGCTGAGAAGGGTAAAGGTGGTGAGAAGGCCGGCCATCGTGTGGTATTGGTGAGAGTGAGCGGGCTGGAGGTTGGGAAGTTAGGTATGCTGGTATATGACTTGGTAAGAAGTAAAGTTCGGTCCTTTTATGACTTTAGATCGTATGGGGAGGACCGCGCTCTCGCCAGTGGTAGCGTGACACCACCGGGTCCGAATGCTGCTTCTAGTATTATCATGGTAGAAGCGAATGCGCGAGTGTACCCAGCGCCGAGGCAACGGGCCGGGGAATCGAACTTACAGCCCGCGGGTGCTATCCGTCACGGGGTCGTACTTGAACACCGCAGCGGAGCCGACGATGAGATGCCATTCGTGATACTTCGGCCGAGCCCATCGGGTCGTGTAACGAGCTGGTGAGAGTTGGATGGACAGCTAGGTCCCCGCCGAAACCCGTATATCACGACACAGAGGTGAGGCGCCCTTGTCTGAACTGAAGGCAAACATTTTGACGGGCACGGCATATCGGGGTGGCAACGGAGTTTAGCTATTGTGTGCAAGCTCTTCGTGATTTCATTTCATCGCCATCGGCTGGAGGACTACCTGGCCTTTCTCCTCTTCTTCTGGACTGGCGGATCTGCTTCATCTTCCGACGGGAGGACATCACTTGCGCCCTCGATCTCGAGGTCAGACTCGGCACCCTCTTCTTCACTGCCCGCTTCCGAACCATCCTCCTCCTCGGAGCCTTCCTCCTCCTCATCACTTGAGTCGTCCAGGGGTATCATATCTTCCGCAGCTTCCGTTCGAGCCGCTGTATCAGCCGCATCTTCTTCCTCAGAATCACTGTCGCTTGAGAAGCCAGAGAAGTTCTCATCCTCATCTTCCTCACCGTCCTCCTCGGCTGCTACGGTCGAGCCAGCCAATGAGGTACTGGCAACGGTTTCATCCCCCTCACGTTTCCGCTTGAGGGGCATCTCGCCGAGCCGCCCCTGCCTGCCATCGATGACAGCGTCGTCGTCGCCCCCTTCCATAGCCGGAGCAGGCGTGAACCAGGGGATTTTGCCGCGCATAAAGTCATTGAGAACCATTTTTGCAACGCCGTCCACATCCGGCTCACCGCCCTTGAGTAGCCTGCCGGATTTCCTCGCCATGAGTTCGAGGAACTCGATGTGGTCTTTCCAACCCTTGAGCTCGTACGTCCTTTCCATGTGATGTGTCTTGACTTTCTTCAAGACAGCAGGAATGTATTGTTCCGGATGCTCTACGTTCTCAACACGGACAACACCGCGGAGGAGAAGATCCTGGGGGGTATCGTTGTGGTTTGGTGGTACAATACCCGGACAGTCGATGAGATAGATCCTCTTCATTAGTGTAACATACTGCCAGACTTTGGTTTCACCCGGAATGGGTGCGACCTTGGCGACCGCCTTGCCCCGGAGGGCGTTGATGATGCTCGACTTGCCGACATTCGGATAGCCGATCAGACCGACACTGATCTGTTTCCGGTCTTTGTGGAGAATGCTGAACTGCCGCAGAAGGTCTATCAAGGAACCACGCCCGAAGGGGTTCTTGATGCTCGACCTCATGGCGCAGGTGGGGTGGTCCTTCTGAAGCACTCGGATCCAAGCGGCCTACATCAGTCAGCATTTGTTGATGCAAATTGTTTGATGTGTGGTATAGGGATGTGTGAATCATCACTAAGAAGACAGCCATGTGCCATCCGAATGGATAGTGGCGGCCTTCAACTCGTCTGGAACACGTCCGGTATCCGGTGATAGAACCCCAAAACGGCGCCTATCAATCCCCGATCTGATGACCAGACCAGGGAAGTTGGAAGTGGAGATCGCTCTCCCAGGGACGTAACGGATTTCTTCCACTGAACATACATAAAGAATGCAGAAAGGATCCTGACTAAAGCCCTGGGGCCAGGTAAAACCTGACGTAGGTGGAGAGTAGGGATGATAGAAGGGCGCGTACCGCTGTGCTCGAGGGAACGAGATCAATCTTGTTCAAAACGAAAACAAGATGTTTGTGAGGGGCTTCGGTCTTCAGATATTTCTCGACATGGCGACTACGGTGACAAGTTAGCACATGATGAGGTAGGGATGATTCAAGGGGCGTCCACATACCATCTTGTCCCCAAGGGATCCCGCGCATCTATTACATGGAGAATAACATCTGATGAATCCATCACCTTGTCTGGGAGGGTGTTAGTAAGAGCCCTTGAAGAAGGGTACCCAAGGAAACTCACAAAGCTCGTTCCAAATACGCTTGGACTGGCCCTTGCTGAAGATGGCCTCCTTCGCCGTCGCGACACTGAAGTCTTCCTCCACCAGCTCATCGTCATCCAGAACTATTGACCCCACAGTACCGTTGAGTAGCCTGATCTGTTCCCGACGCGCTTGATACGTATCGAAGCTCTGTTCTGTGTAGCCCGCAAGCTCGTCGACGGTGTTGAAGCTAAGCTTCGGCCGTTTCCTTTGTGCCTTGGGCCCGAACGTCTCCGAGAAGGGCTCGCTCTCGATGGTCATCTTCGCCTGGTGCTTCTTTAACCCATCCTGGAGGCTAGGTCCATCCCGAATCAAGCTCATAGGTAGCTTGTTGCTCTTCAGCAGGACTGAGTAGGGGTCCTTCTCCTTCTCGGCGATTGCCTCCCGGAATGACTTGAGCGTGTCTTGGGAGATGACTCGGGTGTTGGTGAACCACCTCCTGTTCGGCTCGACAACGGCCTTAGGGACCTCCCGGCTCTGGTAAGAGGCGGCCTGGACGATCTTGCCCTCTTTGTTCCGAGTGGCCTTTCCATCCTTGTACATGTTCAGGGTCTTGACCTTTTTGGCGGTGCGATAGAAGTTCTCGCCCTTGACCTTGGGGTCGCCCGTCACCTTCCCCTGCCGCTCCATGCGGGACCGTTCCTTCTTGCCTGCGCATGTGTCAGCCGCGATTGGACTCGATTGAAGAAGATGGCGAGGCTGGGGAAGAGCGCTTACCGGTACCCATTTTAGCAATTGGTCTGCGCTAGCAGCTGCAGGAACAATTACTTGAGTAAAGAAGAAGAAGAGAATTCCCCGCCTGCAAAAAATAAAGGAGCAGCGGTCTTCCACGGGGAAAGGTGTGGTGGAAGACAAGGAGAAAAAAGGATGAGAAGAACGGGGACGGAGCGCGAAGCAAGCCAAATGAAGGTTTTTGGCGGGGTGGAGCTCCAGAAGTCTCTTCGCGATAAAATTTGGCGGTGAACCACGGCGCAATACTACAGGTCCAGCCGCGCTAATCCTAAACCGGGCTAGCGTCGCCCAACCCCATGTCCCGCTTGAACAAATTCCAACTTCGAGATCACCACTCCCACTCGTTACGAGTCTCGAATCTCGCATCTTAGCCTCGACTCCCACCACCCCGCCCGGAAGCCCGGTTCTGCTCGCGGGCGGATTTACAGCTTCCTCAACACCAATAATGGCGTCCCCACTCTCCCGACCGTCAATATGCGGCCTCCAAGCGGCCCTCTCCTCCTGCCGCATCTCGACAACCACCACAACGACGACCAAGACCCTAACGAACACAACCCGTACATCACCATGGCGGCGCCCATTCAGCAGCACCCCGCGCCCCTCCCAAATGGGCCCCGTCCCGCCGGAATCCCCCCGCTTCATCACCATCCCGGAACCCCCCCAATCCTCTGAGCCCAAGCTCCCCCCCATCAAAGGCCACCTCCCCATCCCGCGCGACATGTTCCCCAAGCGCGAGGGCGACCGCAAAATCAAGCGCGGCTACCTCCGAGCCGTCACGCGGGTATCCAAGGCCGAGCGGGCCGGCCTGGCACCCAAATCCGACGAGGAGGCCCGGCACCGGGTGCTCGCGGCGGCGCGGCGCAGCGCGCTGGCGTCGGGCGTGCACGGGCTGTACGAGCGCAAGGTGGAGCGGCAGAAGCGCGCCACGGAGCGGTCGGAGCGGCGGCGGCAGGCCAACTTGGCCGCGGCGACGGCGCCCGAGCGCCTGGACGACGTGCTCACGCGGCCGACGGTGCGGGCGGCCACGGCGCTGGTGACGCGCGTGGAGGCGGACCCGGAGCGGTTCGAGAAGGCCGAGGCGGCCCGCGCGCAGCACCAGGAGCGGATGGCCGTCAAGGCGGAGGCGCGGCGGGATGCGCTTGCGCAGCTGTATGTGGCGGCGCAGCGGTTTATCATTGATGAGGCGGAGCTGGAGGCGCGGATTGAGGCCATCTTTACGGCGGATCACCACCGTATTGGCGGTAGGGACCGCGGGCAGAGCATCTGGGACTTGGACTCGGCGCCCGTCAGCGTGGCGGACCTGCAGGCTGCCATGTCGGGCTTGTCCAGCAAGGCCATCGAAGGCCATACTTCGAACGCGGTCAAGACTACCAAGAGGCAGAAGTCCGTGGCGGAGGAGCTGACGGGTGGCAAGTTGTAAGGGGGGAAAATGTGGTTGGGGATAACGCTGTTGTTGGCTTGGTCGCCAATGTATCAAACCGTGTAACGGCATGTACAAATAGAAGCCGGGCCGGTCAAGGCTTTCGAGATATATGCATTGCGAATGTTGTTCTACAATGAAACTACAAGGAGACTATGTACGGTATGTGGTGACATGTAATGTAAGTGCGTGGTGCAAATGTAGACTCCTTCGAACGCCGAATTCCCACGTTGTTCCAACTCCCCCAGTTCGATCACAAGAACAAGATACAAAAACACAAGGAAACCCCCCCTCATTCTCCTTCGCCCACGCCCGATGTAACCAGTCCGCTTGAAGAGCAACACGGTCTCTCCTCGCAACGTGTTCAAAAACCAACATCACAACGCAGTCCCCTAAATCACCGCCTCTCAACAAGCAACACATGCATCGCGGCATAAGCCAGCACAATAAACACAGCACCAAAAATCCCTAGGCCGATAATATCCGGCCACATGGCCTGGTTGTCAAAGCCAAACGAGCTCAGGATAGCCGCCCCGGGCACGGTGATATCGATGCCAATCTTGTGATCGATCAGGGTCAGGTGGGTGACTTCATTGACAATGAGCGCCTCAAAGCCGTAATGGAAGATGGACAGCCACTGCAGCCACAAGGCAGCGGGTGGGATGGCATCGTGGTTCAGCAACAGGCCCGCAAATAGCAAGCTGAACAGCATGACCAGGCTGCCGATGAGGTTGGCAACGCCGCCGTCCTTGCAGACGATGCCGATGAAGAGGCAGATGGCGGCGGCGGCGAGGTTGAACAGCACGAGCACGAGCATGAAGACCAAGAACTTGTCCGCCTCTGCCACGAGGCCCGTCATGGGGTAGACGATGGCCCCGAGCAGGATGGGCGGGATGATGCGCAACGGCACAATGTCGAAGAGAACCTTGGCTGCGAAGTACGTGATGGGCGAGTAGTAACCGTTGGCGCGCTCGCGGACGAAGAGAAGGCGTTCTTGGGAGAAAACGGAGAGCGTTGTCAAGGTGCTGAAGCCGAAGAGGGCGAGAACGAAGAAGAAAAGACCGAGACGGTTCTGGAAGCCTGCGATGGTCATGGACAAGCCATAGAACAGGTAGCCCGCGAAGACGGCCAGCAAGATGGCGATGGCGTAGTGGGTCAGCATTAGCATCGGGTTGCGGTACAGGTTGCGCCAGGTTCGCTGGGAAAGCAAGGCGAACTGCCGCCAGTAGCCGATGCGCGCATACCCTTTGCCCATGGCGCCGAGGTTGAGGTTGGGGCCGTCGACGATGTATCCGTTAGAATTTTGACCGTTGCTGTTGGTTGCTGTTGTGATCGCCTGTTGGATCTCATCGTGGGTGTTGCCGGCGATGTCAGACTGGATGTAAGAGTGCACTAGGATATCGAGGTCGGTGCCCGTGGGAGCAGGAGGCGGCAGGTCGTCGTGCTCGTCTTGGTTGTGCGGCGGCACGCGATGGGGGGTCTGTTGCAGTTTGTAAGCCCCAAGCTCGTCACCGGCATCTGAGGATGCGGCAGTATCTACCGGTTGCTTGCGACGAGTGTAGAGCTCTCTCTCTTGCCTGACTCGCACAGAATCCCGGCGTCTGCTCTTTGGGCGAGAGGAGGACGGAGCTTCGATAGTGCTGTCGTCTCCAACACTGGCGCCAGAAATGCTCGCAATTGACTTGACAGCGCGGGTGCTGCTCGGACCAACGCTCGCCACGTCTGCCGCAAGGGTGCCGTCGTCGAAGGAAGTTGTGGAGCTGGCGTGCATGGTCAAGTCGACGAGGTAATCCGCAATGTTGAAACCGGGAGGGCAGCTGTATCCGATCTGGTCAAAGTAATCCTGGCATTGATGCAGCGGGCCTGAATAAACAGTCTTTCCCTGAGCCAGCAGGACAAGGCGGTCAAAGAGTGCAACGATGTTAGACCTGGGCTGGTGGATCGTGAAGATGACGGTGCGCTTGTAGGTCTTGGCCAATGTGACGAGGCATTCGATGACGTTATAGGCGTTGTACGCATCCAGGCCGCTCGTGGGTTCGTCGAGGAAGAGGATGGAGGGGCTGGTGACGAGTTCGCAGGCGATGCTAACACGGCGCTTCTCACCCCCAGAAATGCCACGTCCCTTGCCTTCTTCGGATCCGATCAAGGAGTCTCGAATGTGGTAAATACCCAGCTGTTTCTCGACCTCGAAAACTCTTTGCTCCTTTGCCGCCCGGGTCATGTCTCGGGGGAGGCGAAGTAGGGCGCTGGTGAGGATGGTCTCGTGGACCGTCAAGGTAGGGAGCATCGTATCCTCCTGGTCGACGAAACCGGTGGCGTTTTTGTAATCCGCATCGCTGACCTTTTCCCCATTGACGTAGAACTCACCAGAGACCTGGCCACGCTTGTTTTTGCGAGCAAGAATATCGAGAAAAGTGGTCTTGCCCGCGCCCGACGCGCCCATGATGGCGGTAAGTTCACCGGGATGCGCCATGCCCTGGATACCCGTCAGGATATTCTTGCCGTTGAGGTTGTAGGAGACGTTTTGGAAGTATAGGGATGCCGGTTTATGGTCCGCCATGAGCCTGATCGCTTCGTCGTCCGAGTCATCGAGATGGATAGGGCCGTACTTGAACTGCCTCCGGGACAAATACCAGGTCCCGAGAATGACGGCCACCAAGAAAAGCGAGCACCCGGCAATAACCCCCGCGATCAGCGGGGTGTTGATCTTGGGAACGTCGGGCTTGAATCCGGGCACCTCGGTGTGGTATAGACACTCCCCGGCGCCACAGGTCAGGAGGATGCTCGTGTCGCCGAAAATGGAGCTGATCATCTTGTTCATCTCCGGCTCTTCAAATGCGCACTTCTTCGGCTCTCCAGGTCGCTGGACACACTCGAACTTGGCGGGGCCGCGGATCACCTTGACGAGGAACTCGGTGAGATCGACCGAGCCGTTCGCGCCGCACAACATACGGTCGGGTATGCACTCGCAACGGACCTCCTCGCACTTATAGGATGTCGAGTTCTTCCCTCCGGAGGCATCGAAATCGGCGCTCGATTCGCATTGGTTCAGATGGCACATGAAGGACTCGAGCTCATCAACCCAGACTGGATAGTATGTGAGAGGGGGCAACATACGCACGGCTCAGAGTTTTGGACTCACACTGGAAATCGCATTCCCCAGACGCCTTGTCGCAAGTGAAGGTAACCTGGGGCACCTGGGCACCGAGCAGTTCCCGGATAGCCCTATTCGTGACATCACACATCTGGTAGTTCTGCTTCACCACCTCGCCGCCCGTGTAGCAGACGCCGCCGTCCCCCGTCTCGGTCATGGCGTCGCATGCTCGGTCGCTCGTGCACATGTTGCAGTTGATGCCCGTCCATCCATCGTCGCATTTACAGGACTTGCCCTGTCGCGCCGGGCGTTTTTTGCCTCGGGGTAGGGATCCGCATACTGTGCCATGTTGTCAGCTTGGCTCCTTGGCCAACACCGGTTCCGGGGAGAGATCGCGTACGAGGCTCGAGACAGTTATCGCCGCCAAACCCCGCAGGGCAGTCGCATTTACCGTCGTACCCGTTGCAAGGCGCGAATTGGCCGCAGGAGTTGATGGGGAGGTTGCAGTTGAAGCTGGCAGAAGATAGCCATCGTTAGCCGAGCAAGAGCCACGCAGGGGAAGAAGATTCGGGGTATTAGGGCATACCATGGAGGACAGTCCTTTGGCCGATCCGCCATTAAGGCGAGTTGCGCCTGCATCATATCGTTAGAGGAGAAGCTGTTGGAGGTTGCAGCGACGCATGATAGCGATAGCGATAGACCCGCTAGAGCGAGTACACGCCGTAGCCGGAACGCCATGATGGCGGTAGTCGATTATCGCCAGTGGTAGACCTCGGCGACAGAGCTGGCTGATGCAAGAGGGGAGGGTGGGCAATAGGTGAGAAGCTGGGCGGATTGTTGAGGGCTGCGCCGGAAGGCTGCGTGCAACCAACCCCACGATTCAACGGACTCAAGCGGCCAACGGCCCAGACCAAGGCACAAGCCCCCAACCTCTTGGTCACACTCTCACCGAAACTTACGCCACTCTTGGCCGCAAGGTTGGTGACGGGTCGAGTAGAACGGAAATAATCGCTGAAGAATGTGCTTGGTAGAGACCAAAGAAGTAAATAAACAAAGCGAGAAGGAAGGATACAAGGGACAAGAGTGGCGGCCTTGAATGGTGATGACCAGTGACCGGGAACCGGCGGAGGTGCCTGTTCCCCCGATGATGTCGCTGTGGAGCTGCGGAGCGCTCACTCCAGGCTTGGGTCAGGGGTGCATTTGGGACTTCCACTCCTTGGCTGGCACACTGAACGCGTGGCTGGAAAATGGACGAAAGTGGATGCAACTGATCAAATAGAAGTCTGGTTGGATGGAGCGAAACCTGGGGTGAGACAACGCTTAAATTGTTCAGGCACGTGCGACTTCGTCGGCTGCCGAGCGTGTCGAGCGCCATAAATCGGCCACCCTGGGCCTCTTGCCTGGTAAGGGGCTTACCAGACAAATGAAGTAGCAAGGCAATGTAGAACGATAGATGTGGTGTGGGTTGCCGATGAAGCATTTACCCAGCGTCAGGAGATTTATGTAAATGTGTGGATCTGATGAATGGATGGATAGATGTTGTCTGGAGGGCGCACGATTGACCGACAGCGGCCGACCCCACCCCTCCTGGAGGAAGCTGCTATAAAGCGGGAGAAGAAAGCAGTAAAATCGGAAGACTATTTATATTTGATATTGACTTGATAATACACAAGATACACAATAAAAACTCACCTCACTCGCTAAAATCCATCAAAATGGTCAAGATTGAGCCGTTTGAGGTCGAGCAATGGATGGACCGTCTCGAGACGACGCCAGGGGTTCTCAACATCGCCGAGACATGCGCCGCCTCAGTATCTGTGGACGACTTGGTGCGAATGTGCGAAGATAAGGATGCGCCGGGCCCCCTCTCGCTCTCCAAAAAGCTCACCTACGGCGCCATCCGCGGCTCTGAGAACCTCCGTCAACGCGTTGCCGCCCTCTATGACAGGGCATCCGACGCCGAGCCGCTTCCGGCCGAGAACGTCATCATCACCCAGGGAGCCATCACCGCCAACTTCTTAACCTTCTATACCCTCGTGGGCCCCGGCGATCATGTCATCTGCGTGTACCCCACCTACCAGCAGCTGTATTCGGTTCCCGAGAGCCTGGGGGCCGAGGTGTCCCTGTGGAAGCTGAAGAAAGAGAACGGATACATCCCAGACGTGGCAGAGCTAGAAGGGTTAGTGAAGGACAACACCAAGGTATGCAGTAACCCCCCCTCACCCACACCTCTCCCCACGGACCCGCCATACTAACCACACCACACCACCACACCAGCTCATCGTGATCAACAACCCCAACAACCCCATGGGCAGCACCATCCCCACCACCACGCTCGCCCAAATCGTCAGCTTCGCCCAACAACGCTCCATCACCATCCTCTCGGACGAAGTCTACAGCCCACTCTACCACTCCCTCCCCGCCAACCAACCGGCCCCCCCCTCCATCCTCACCTTCGGCTACGCCCAAACCATCGCCACCGGCTCCATGTCCAAAGCCTTCGCGCTCGCGGGGATCCGCACGGGGTGGATCGCGACGCGCGACCCCCGCATCGCCGACGCCGTGGCCGCCGCCCGCGACTACACCACCATCAGCGTGTCGCAGCTCGACGACCAGGTCGCCGGCTACGCGCTGTCGCCCGCCGTGGTGCAGCCCCTGCTGGCGCGGAATATGGCGTTGGCGCGCGCCAATCTGGCGTTGTTGAGTGCTTTTGTGGAGAAGTACGCTGCGGTGTGTGCGTGGACCAAGCCGACGGCGGGGACGACCGCGCTGGTGCAGTTCCGGGATTTGAAGGAGGGGGGCGCGCCGGTGGATGATGCGCGGTTGGTGATGGATGTGTTGGAGAAGACGAAGGTGTTGGTTATGCCGGCGAGTCCATGCTTTGGGTTAGGAAAGGATTTTAAGGGGTTTGTGAGGATGGGCTATGTGTGTGAGACGGAGGTGCTGGTGGAGGGATTGGAGAGATTGGGGCGGTATATCGAGGAGTATTTGATGGGAGAAGGGAGGAATTGAAGATGCAACTGCGACACGTGTGTTCCGAGAAGTGGGAACAATTTCCACGCTGCGCCAGCGCAGAAGTGTCAGAACTAGTAGCGAGAAGGACAGGGAACTCCACGTTTTGGACCCCCGCAACCTGATGGGTGTTAGTTCGAGTCCCTACATTGTACCAAGTGGATGCTGTACATCCTCGCTTGTCTTGTGTAGAGGCTCGCGAGCGAGGCGAGGTAATCGCGGCCCATTGGCAGGCCGTGGGCGAGTAAGCGATGGAACGAATCGTTGGGGATGGTGGAGGCAGGTACCCGAGCCTCTCCACCAACCATAGGCTGCATGCTTGGTGAAGATCCGCTATGCCACTCAGCTGTAGTGGGGACCCCGCACGCCGAGGCGCGATCAGCTTGTAAGCAGGTGGTCATAGAAACTGGTTCGAGGCTGGTGAATACCACTTCCAAGTCAACGCAGGACTCAGTGGTGATCGTCTTTCTCCTTGGCTTTCAGCCGCAGACCTTTTCTACCCATGCTATTGGTTCATACTGATACTTCTTTTACTATTTTTATTTTGTCACGATGCTATTCGTCGGATACCCAAGTAAGAAGGTCGGCGAGTGCCGCGAATCGAACCACATGTTGCTATTTGCAGATGTCACAGGTGGTAGTATAGCCACTGTCGAAAGTCTGAACAAATGTACCGAGGCCCGCTAGGTATGTACATACCGAAGCGATGTTCGAGTTGGCATGCAACTCGTAAGAGGGCACTAACAACAAAATTTTTCACTGGTCAGAGACCAGGAGTGTACATTCCGGACACCGAAAGTGGAAGATGAAATCATAAAGTGGGATCCAGGGGCGTGGAAAGGAGAGCTCGAGATATAAAACGGCACCCTCTGAGGCAGTTTGAGCAAGTTTGTTCAAGCCTCACAACCCAGCCACTATCATTCCTCCTTTCATTGCTTCCGAACTTCGGAACTGACAGCAACCATGAAATTCTTCACCCCCCTCGCCCTTCTCATCTCCCTCGCCTCCGCCCACCCTCAACCCAACATTGCCACCTTTGAGGAGCAGTTTATCAACTCCCTCCCTCTCGTCTCACGTTCGGAGTCATCCGCTGGCAACACCTCTGCCATCACCCTCGTCGGCTACAAGTCTATCCCCATCGAGCCGGAGCACGTCGCCGACTTTGAGAAGGACTACTTCGCCAATGTCTCGCTGTGGGGCAGGAACCGCATCTATGACCGCCAAGCCCGCGCCATAAGGGTCTACTTCCCCGTTGCGGGGGCCCTACTCCCCCTAGGTGCCCGCGGCGAGCACGTTGAGGCTGACCTTCTCGGCCGGGTCCCCTCGACCCACGCCGACGACACCCTCCAGCTGCTCGGGAGGGGCCTGCACGTGCTCGGCCGCAAGAGGACCGACCACGTCACGGGCGTCGAGGGCAACGTCGTCGAGAACGGCATCATCTACCTCTCGGAGCCGGCCAAGCCCGTGCGCCACGTCGGCCGCGCCGTCGTCTACAACTTTGGCGGCAAGGAGCTGCACTCGCACGGCCCGTCCGGCCACCCGCACAAGCGCGCCGAGTCGAAGAAGGGGTGTCTGCAGAATCACAACGGCAAGAACTGCTCCAAGGCCTACGGCATCAACAAGGGCCGCTGCAAGATGAACACCAAGGTGTGCATGGACTACAACGGTGTTGTCACCGACTGCAAGAACTACTCTTCGGGCTGGAAGAAGTACAGGAACTTTGTCGATAGCGATTGTGATGTGTCGCTGGGCAAGGGCCATTGCTGGAACGAAATCATGTAAGACTGACCACCTAAAGAGGGAGATGTCCATAACGGATGGTATGTATTTCAAGTGGCAATGGAAACGATCATGAATAAAGCATTTGGGTTTGAGCTACTCGAGAAATGTCTGTCGTCTGGGAAATAGGCGGAAAAATCGGCAAAACACGTACGTACGATAGGAAGGTGAGTTGTGTATATACAAAAGGAGAGCGCGGAAACAATTCATATTTTCTCGTCTGTTCCAGTCTTTTGAAATGTTACTTTGAAGTCCTGAAGGCAACTATCGCGAAAACTTGAATTGGGTTGTTGCGCGGACCGCCTTCAAGGTCTTTAGTGGCCACCGTGACTCGTATCAGCCCGGTGCTTCTACTCTCAGGGGGTTGAGAAGCGGGTTGTTTTCCCGCTTAGGAGCTATGTCTGAGCTGAGGTCACTTGATTTCTGAGGATCGGCAGCTGCGACGCTTCATCAACCGCTTGCTTGGCCGGATTGTGGGAGCGAAATCGGCGCGGCTTGCCCAAGGCAGCTCCAACGATGTACCCCTATTCGCGACCAGCAAGGAGATAAGCGCGCGGGTTGGTTCAACACAAATGTGTTTATACGGAAAACTCCCTAGTCTTAAAGGGGCGCTGTGGCTCTAGATAGCCCCTTGACATAACCGTTGGTCCTTTTTTAATAGAATGGCCGCAATTAAACCTCAAGCACGCCACTGTCACGGTAATGATTCAAACCCGAGAAAGTAATTTTGAGTCGGATAAGCTCTTGTTTCTCGCTCGCGTTGTACCTTTTCTCACACATCACTGTAAATAACCGGCTCCAAGGGGTGCGGTTGTTGAGAATGCAGCACTTTTTTAGTCACACAGTTGGGCGTGTATCTGGTCTGATCGCCTTGGGAAATGCAGTCGGTACGTTTATAAACTCGGCCACCATCCAACTCCGAGCATAGCCAAATTTGTTACTCATGTGCCGAGGAGTCTCAACTGCCACTTCTCTTGTCATAAGAATCACCCTGGCCCGTCAGTACAACAAGGCTCCATTATCCGCAGCAACGTGGTGAGAGTCATCGAGCCTCCCTATCCCCACGCGATGTGCCTCGTCTGAACCAACAACGGCATTAGCATACAAAACGGTCCGCACATGCCCCTGTCGCGGCGGCAGCGGCGGATCCCGGGGCCAGGAGACTCTTGCGGGCGCCAGCAAAGTGACTGGTTGGGGTGGGATGTTTGGGTGCAGCAGGGAGATGGGTAGGAAATAAAAAAAAAGGAGAAACAGCAGCAGCAGCAGCAGGTTGTTCCGTTGGAGGCGAATACCACCAAGTATGGGACAGAGTTCCAAGCCAGTCTTTTGGCTCTTTCTCCCGGGCCGTAATGCAGATGAAGACTTAGAAGATGAGTGCTTGCATATGGTTAGCACCGGAAGAAGATGAGGGTGCTATGAAATTGTATAGACCATTAACTACCAAATCTAGAATTTGGTCACAATGCCTGAACTTTTTCGACAGCCCCGCCACTCAGATCATGGTTCCAGAGGCAGGGGCGATCCAGGAACACGAATAGGATCGTGCCTGGCAAACATCGGGTATAGGTACTGTGGGCATACTTGAGCCACCGGAACGGGGCTTAAACGCTTGATAAAATCCCCCGCAAATCGTCTATCGCTGCTGTAAGTGGTGCATCAACCGCCGAGTTGAAGGGTTTCACATTGCACATTGTTTCAGCGCTGGAGCAGCATGGGACTCATGCCCGCTAAAACTGCCAAGCCCCTGTTTCCAAGTTTACCCGCACTAGCCAAGTAAAGCTTAGTTTTTCGATGAGATCGTGCAGGGACATCCCCTGATCCGGCAACTGGCGGCGGGCAGTCACACTTTCTCGGACTTGTTCCTCCTTCCGCTTTGTCACTTTGTCTGTGGCGAGTCAGTGGGCCGTCGCCTCCAATACTCGGCCGAACGCGCGCTCAGCCCCATCGGCCACCTCATACTTCGCTCGTTTCAATCGACTGCCTTGGTTTTCTTTTGAAGACGGACTTACCCCGTCCTTCGTCCTCTCTTTGAGCCGCTCTCTCTCTCTTTGAGCCTTCCTAAAAGGTTGTGGGTCCGTGACCACTTCATGTCGTATTCTGTCCGGATTTGTCACTCTCATCTCTTCGTTTCTCGCTGAGAGCTGACACACTGCACTGCTTCCACACGGGCCTTGCTTCTCGCCACCTGCTGTCCTCTTTCGCACCGATTACCTTTTACGGGCCTTGGCGTGCGAGTTTCCGTTGATCAGGATCAGTGCATCCATTTATTTACCAGGCTGTCGTTCACTGAGTATCCGCTGCTGATCTCACCAACGGACTCCGTTCATTTCACAACAGTCAGCCCTCGCAACTATGAAGGGGCCCGATGCTGTGGCCTTGGGCGTGCTGCTCGCCGGAGCCGTCCATGCATCTGCCGGCAATGGCGTTGTCCAATGGGACATCCAGAGATCGCAACGACCGGAGGAGTTCAAGAGGCTGAGGAAACGCGCCGACACCTTTGAGGAGGTTGTCACAAACGAGCAAGCAAGAGGAGGGTATTTTGCTACCTGCCGGTTGGGGACGCCCGGACAGGACCTGACGCTCCAGCTAGATACTGGGAGCAGCGACACTTGGGTGCCGGATTCCGAGGCTCCGGTGTGCAGGGCGGCTGGTACTGAAGGGTGTAGGCTGGGAACCTGTATGGCATTCCGTTGAGCGGTTTGGAGGAATTGCATTTTGCTAACATGGTGTTTAGTCAACCCCGACGAGTCAAGCACCTTCGAGGTCGTCGGAAAGGACCAATTTGACATCGAGTATGTGGATAACAGCTCTTCAAAGGGCGACTATTTCACCGATGCCTTTGAGATTGGCGGCGCCACTTTGCAAAACCTAACCATGGGGCTCGGTCGCCGCACTGATATCGCATATGGACTCGTCGGTGTGGGCTATGCCGTCAATGAAGCGATCGTGGGGACCACCCAGTCGCTTTCGTCCGTCTATCCCAACCTTCCTGTCGAGATGGTCAATGAGGGCCTGATCAACACTGTCGCTTACAGCTTGTGGTTGAACGATCTGGGTACGTTTCGCCGACGCGTCGCAGGGTTGCTGTTTTTGCTAACAATCCCTAGACGCCAGCTCGGGAAGCATCCTCTTTGGTGGAATCGACACCAAGAAGTACAAAGGAGACTTGACGAGGATCCAGGTCTACCCTACCCAGCAGGACATTTTTTCGGCGTTCTTGGTCGCTTTAACGACCGTGGAGGCCGTCAGCTCCAGTGGCCAGGACACTTTGACATCGGAGGCTTTCCCCATCCCTGTGGTCTTGGACTCTGGCACTACCCTCTCCTATCTACCGACCGACCTGGCGAGACAAGTCTGGAAGGAAGTCGGTGCTATCTACTCCCCCGAGGTCGGAGTGGCCGTACTCCCCTGCAGCATGCAAAATAGCAAGGGTCATTTTTCTTTTGGCTTTGCTGGTCCCAACGGGCCCCGGATCAACGTCGGTATGGACGAGCTGGTCCTCGATTTGACCTCGGGAACCCCGCCGACCTTCCTCAGCGGCCAATACAGGGGTCAGGACGTGTGCCAGTTCGGCATCCAGAACTTTACTTCGGCGCCATACCTGCTGGGTGACACCTTCCTCCGCTCGGCGTACGTGGTTTATGACCTAGTCAACAACCAAATCGGCATCGCCGAGACCGACTTCAACTCGACCGAGAGCAATATCGTGGCATTCCCTAGCATGAGCGCTCCCATCCCGTCTGCGACGGCTGCCCCTGACCAGAACCAAGCCACTAATATCCCGGCTGTGACGTCCCCGGCGTACGCGGCAAGCTCGGGATTCCTGGAGAGTGTGGATGGATCGGAGAATGCGGCTCCAGGCATGTCTGCGGCCTGGGGGGCAGGGCAGATTGTGATTGTGGGCGCCACCATGATGATGATGGCACTTGGCTCGGGTTTATTCGTTACATTTTAAGCTGCCTTATTCATATAGGCGAACCTGGTCACCGAGGGGATCTTTACCTACATAGGTACCATAATAGACCTGGGAAATGGCTGCATGGGTTGGGCTTGACGGGAGGCGGTCTCTATCTGTTTCATAATTTGGCGGAGCAAGATCCTTAGCGTAGCGAAGTACTTGATGTAAATTGCAACACCTGAAAGGTCGGTATGACTTGCAATACAGTTCTGGGGTTGCAAGACCCTGGCAAGTCCCTGGCCGATTCCCAGGGTTGTTGGAGTGCGGCGGGATGGCATGGGGAAGCATGGGTTGAGTGACCGGTGCTGGGGTAGTGGGGGGTTTGGATCGGGACCCACAATAAAAAATCGCGAGCTGGGATGCCGAGAATCATCAAATCCACGCGAATTCGGATGGCTCTTCAACCTTTAGAACCACCCTCTTTCCCCCCTCATTTCTTTAATACGCCTTTATCTTTTTGTCAGGATGAGGGTGATACGGGCTGCGGCTGCACTCAACAGCAGCTGTGCTGCTAGTTCTCGGCAGGGAGCCCGCTATGCGAGTTTGGCATGCCGTACTGCACTTACTTCCTCGCCTTTGGCGCCATGCTACAGTGCCCGGTTGAGTGGGCTTCGGTACTTCACTAAGACTCATGCTCCCAGGGCTGCCAGTGCCGCTGAGGCTGCGTATGTTTTCCCATAAGCTTGGCTCGAGCAATTGGGTCATGGGCAAGCTAACAGATCGCTCGCTCTCTAGCTTGAAGCAGGCCAAGGAACTTGCTGCCGCCAACATGACCCCCGAAGCCGCCGCCGCCCGCATGACCCCCGAGGAGGCCAAGAGGTTGTCCATGGTCCGAAACATTGGTATTGCAGTACGTGTGGATGCGGAGTACAGGGCGTATGGAGGGGTGGGACCGAGAAACTGAGCAGCTCGAAACAGGCACACATCGACAGCGGCAAGACCACCGTGAGCGAACGCATCCTCTTCTACACCGGCCGGACGAAGGCGATCCACGAAGTCAGGGGGCGCGATGGTGTAGGTGCCAAGATGGACTCTATGGAACTCGAGAGGGAGCGAGGCATCACCATTCAATCCGCCGCCACCTTTGCCGACTGGAAGAAGGTCGAGAACGGCGTCGAGGAGACATACCACTTCAACCTGATCGACACACCCGGCCATATCGACTTCACCATCGAGGTCGAGCGTGCCATGAGAGTGCTGGACGGTGCCGTCATGGTTCTGTGCGCCGTCAGTGGCGTGCAGAGTCAGACCATCACCGTCGACAGGCAGATGAAGCGGTACAACGTTCCCCGTATCAGCTTTGTCAACAAGATGGACCGCATGGGCTCCAACCCGTTCAAGGCGGTCGAGATGATCAACTCGAAGCTCAAGATCCCCGCCGCTGCCGTGCAGATCCCGATCGGTTCCGAGAAGGAGTTCGAGGGTGTTGTCGACCTGATCCACATGAGGGCGATCCGAAACGACGGTCTCCGTGGTATCAACGTCAGAGTTTCGAACACGATACCCGAGAATCTCAAGGAATTAGCCGAGCAGAAGAGGCAGGAGCTGATTGAGAAATTGGCCGACGTCGATGATGAGATCGCCGAGATGTTCCTCGAAGAGAAGACCCCCACCCCTGAGCAGATCAAGGCCGCCATCCGCCGGGCGACTATCGGCCTCAAGTTCACACCCGTTCTGATGGGCTCCGCCCTTGCCGACAAGTCTGTTCAGCCCATGCTGGATGCTGTCTGCGACTACCTCCCGAACCCCGGCAACGTCGACAACATGGCCCTCGACCGGTCCAAGAAGGAAGAGCCCGTGAAGCTTCTGCCGTACGACTCGCTTCCTTTCGTGGGCCTGGCCTTCAAGCTCGAAGAGAACCCTTACGGCCAGCTTACCTACATCCGCGTCTACCAGGGTACCCTGAAGAAGGGCCAGTACCTCTTCAACGCCCGCAACGACAAGAAGGTGCGCATTCCCCGTATCGTACGCATGCACTCGAACGAGATGGAGGACGTCAACGAGATCGGTGCTGGTGAGATCTGCGCCGTCTTCGGCGTTGAGTGCGCTTCCGGTGACACTTTTACCGATGGTCGCCTGCCCTACGGCATGAGCTCCATGTTCGTGCCGGACTCGGTCATGTCTCTCAGCATTAAGCCCAAGCGCAGCAGCGACGCCGATGCCTTCAGTAAAGCTATGAACCGTTTCATGCGTGAGGACCCTACCTTCCGGCTGCACGTCGATGAGGAGTCAGAGGAGACCATCATCAGCGGTATGGGTGAACTCCACCTCGATATCTACGTCGAGCGTCTGCGCCGCGAGTACAAGGTCGATTGCGAAACAGGCAAGCCCCGCGTCGCCTACCGTGAGACTATCAGCAAGCGCGCCGAGTACGACTTCCTCCTTAAGCGCCAGTCGGGCGGGCCCGGCGATTACGCCCGCGTGGTCGGCTGGATCGAGCCCAACGTGGAGAACGCCGAGGGCAACAAGTTCGAGACCAAGGTCGTCGGCGGCAACATCCCGGACAAGTACCTCGCCGCCTGCGGCAAGGGCTTCGAGGAGGCCTGCATCAAGGGGCCGCTGCTCGGGCATAAGGTCATCGGCGCGCACATGGTGGTCACCGACGGCGCCACGCACGTCACCGATTCCAGCGACTACGCTTTCAACTTGGCCACGCAGATGGCGTTCCGCAAGGCCTTCCCCGACGCCGGCGGCGCCGTGCTCGAGCCGCTCATGAAGACCACCATCACCGCCCCCGCCGAGTTCCAGGGCAACATCCTCATGCTCATGAACAAGCGCGGCTCCATCGTCGACACCGAGGTCGGCGCCGACGAGTTCACCATGATAGCCGAGTGCAGCCTGAACGCCATGTTCGGCTTCAGCACCCACCTGCGCGCCGCCACACAGGGCAAGGGCGAGTTCAGCATGGAGTTTAGCCACTATGCTCCGGCGCCACCGCATTTGCAGTAGGTTATTCTGCTGCGGAGTGAATTTTTTTTTTTTTTTTTTTGAGGATAGCTTACTGACGTATGATTTTCCGCAATTTTAGGAAGGAGCTTGTTGCTCAATACGAAAAGGAGCTCGAGGCCAAGCGGAGCAAGTAAACCTGACATCGGTGATGTTGGCGGTTTTTTTCCTACCTGAACCTCGATTGAGTGTCCGTATTCCGGGGCTGCGACGAATCGTGGCCTGGTGTAGAGGTCGGTAGCCAACTCCATACCAGGCTGCCGACAAGAGAGCTTCTGTGGAGCTTCATTGTACTCCCGCCTCCGGGCGGTCTCGAAACGACTGATCATGACAGGGTAAAATAGGGGGTAGGTTATATTTGGGATAGATCACGGGTAGATGGTCGATCACTGGGACAGGCGCCACAAGATAGAGGCGGCTTGTATCATAGCCTGGGCTGGTTGGTTGGTTGTCTGTAAATGGGTCATGTATGATACACGATGCAACCTGTGTTGTTTAGATTGGTTGTTGTAATTAAGCAATGAGATACCATCCCTTCTCCGTTTGACGAGGAGACGGGCTGCCATACTGTGGCTGCCGATTTGGAAGTATGTACATGGCCCATACTGACTGAACGTTTGAACCTCACATGTGTATTTTTATTTATCCCTCCAGCGGACCCTTTTTGATACACACAAGCCGTGGGGTATCAGCATAATACTTAACCCAACCCCTGGTACCCCTCAATTTTTTCTATCCTCTACTCGGCTACCAGACGCAGCTTACAACCGGCGGAGGATGTCCTGGACAACCTCCTCCGTCTTGGCGGTACCGCCCAGATCCGGGCTGAGCAGCTTTCCGTCCTCCAGGTTGCCATCCACAGCAGCATAGATCTTGGCAGCAGCAGCCTCCTCGTTCAAGAACTCCAGCATCAGCGCGGCGCTGCGGAGGGTGGCGATCGGGTTCGAGATGCCCTGGCCCTGGATATCCGGGGCGCTGCCGTGGCACGGCTCGCCGATGGCGAAGCCCTCGCCAACATTGGCGCTGGGGACGAGGCCCAGCGAGCCGACGAGCGCCGCGGCGCCGTCCGACAGGATGTCGCCGTATAGGTTGGGGGCGACAATGACATCATAGGCCTCGGGCTGCCGGAACAGCTTGTACACCATGGAGTCAACGATCTGCTCCTCGACAGCGACGCGCCCGGCAAAGGCCGGCGCCGCGAGCGCCTCGCGCGCCGTCGACCGGAACAGGCCATCCGTCTGCGACAGCACGTTGGACTTGTGCGTGATGGTGACGAGCGGGCCGGTGTGGATGCTGGGCGAGCCGCCGGCGCGGATCTTTTGGCGGCGCAGCGCGATCTCGCCCGCGATGGTGGCAATGCGGCTGCTGGCGCGCTGCGAGATGCGCTTGATGGCCTCGGCGACCTTGCCCTCCGCGGTGTCGCGGGTGGTTTCCTCCTTGACGTAAAGGTCTTCGGTGTTCTCGCGCACGATGACCATGTCGATGGGCTTGGGGGCCGACACGACCGTCTTGACGGGCCGCACGTTGGCGTACAGGTCCAGCTTCTTGCGCAGGGCGACGATGGGCGACGAGTAGCCCTTGACGGCTGTCGTCGGGGAGCTGACGGCGCCGAATAGTGCGCCGTCGCATTCGGACTTGAGGACGGAGACTGTCTTCTCCGGCAGAGCTACGCCTTGCTTCTCGAACGTCTCCCAGCCGGCCTCGAGGTCGACAAACTCGAACTTCAGGCCGAGCGAGGCGGGCAGGGCCTCGAGGAGGCGCCGGCCGGCGGGGATGACTTCCTTGCCGATGCCATCGCCGGGGATGAGACCTGTGGTGGGGGGAGTCAGCGTTAAAATCGGACGGAAAGAAGGAATTGGTGTGGAAAGTGGGAGGCCTTAGGTCTTGTAAGCTGCTTACCAATTCTGAGAGTTCTTGTTGCCATGGTTGCGCTTCAATTCACTTTCCAGGTCTGGTTGACGGGCTTGTGTTGAAACTTTTTGGGCGGCCGAAAGCCGCCATGACACCTTGGGCCGGCCGGGATCGGAGCTGGTTCCCGATTGGCAGCCGATGAAGTGTGTGCGATAAATACCTTGATTTCGTCCGGTATGTAATTGCTATCATGTACGAGTTGTCATGAACCGCTTTTCCAACTCTCCCATTCCCTGGGATGATACGGTAGTTAAGGGACTTTACGATGGGTGGTATATAACAATCGACACTAACACCAATTGGAAAGCAATCATCTCATCTCTCCCCCTCGTGACCAGCCTGGGGTAAATTGGGAGCGAGCTTCCTGCGATCTGTACATTACATCCACAATACGGTATCGATCGTATTAGTGACAGCAACTTCGTCATCTGTACCGATGTCCTCTAACTATACTTGAGTACCTTCAGGTTACCTAGGTAGGTACCTTAGTTCTCGACTGAAGGACTCGGACTCATTTGATCGCTTCCGTTTTGTTTTGCTTGCCACTCCTCTGTTGCTTCTTTTTTTGGTATCCCCCGAATTTCCCGAGCAAAAGCTGAGTTCGTGTAAGAAGCAATCCACTCGGATCAACCCGTCTCATATGCACAGCAAAGGTAAGCCACGAATGCTCGGCCCGCTTCTTACTTATCGCCTTACTTAGCCTCCCCAAGCCCCAAGGCTTGCGCCGCCGGAAAGGTCAGCCATCCCCCAGACTGACGCAAGGTGTTAATGTAGAGAGACTCGATTTTAACGGCGAGGAAATATTTGTTAACGGACAGTCAGTCTAACAAATGAACACCTTGTTGATGAGAATCATTGGGGATAATACCGAGGGAAGAAGTATCGGACGACAATCTCGTTAGATGACACCCCATTCCTCTCAAACGGACAGCAGTTATTCTTCACATGTGCTCATTGTCTGTAATGACACTTGCGGGTTATGTTGACATTGTGTCATTGACAGGGATTGCGGGACTGGGCCACTTGACCACGTGTGTGGGCCGACGGACTCCCATACCTTTCCGTCCCAAGTTTTTTCGCGCCCGCGGCTTTCCTTGCCAAGATTTGGAGCACCTCTGCTTGCCGACGGGAGCTCTGAAACGCTGCAACCGCAGCTCTCTCAGCTTGAAGCTTCTCCTGTCGGGCCAACACATTGTGAGCCACCTTCGCCACTTTTAGTTTTCAAGGCGGACACTTTCCATCCGTCGGATCTGATTTTGCTGCGTGCCGATGCATAACGGCGCATCCTGATTCATCATTTAGGGTCGCATACGCGATCGGGTGCGCATGGGAGGGCTCCGCAGCAGCCCCCTGAGCCCAGCACCCGTCTTCTGGACAAAAAAGACCGAACTTTAAATGTAGCAGCCAGCGAAACCCTTGACGAGAGGAACGAAAAGAAAGGCATTCGGAAGCCCAAAATCTACGTTTTATCTTACTGGATTTATTCTATTGAACATATTTTTCTCGACTCCCTTTGTCTCTTCTTCTTCCCTTGTGTTTTTGTACTTTTTCCTCTTGTCTTGATTTCTCTCTCCCGTTTTGAGCTCGGCCTTTTTTGGCTAGAAGGTGCCTGACCCATGCCCGAATTGTCTCTTCTAATTTGAGACATCTCCCTCATTTTTATAGGGTGGCACCACGAGCGCCCGCCGAGCAACCGCGTCTTGTCGCCCTCTCGTTTCCCACCCCTCCTCCCCCCAGCTCGTCGCAAATCTGTCCTTTGCTGCGCACTCGACTCGTTATTTCCAAACCAAGCAAGCATACTAAAGCGCGACTCACACGAATTCCCTCCCCATTGGTTATTCTAAGTTTACAAACCTTGGAGCTCCCAACGCGCGGCCTCTTGCGCGAACCCCAAAAAGGGGGCCTTTGGCTTTGGTTTCAGCACTGGCCTGAACACCGCTGCCCGAACGCGATACAGACCACCGCTTTAACTCAACCCAACGATCAAGAGCTTATCTCATCGCGCCTTGCGCCGCAACCCCGCCGTTTCCAAAACCGGCTACCTGTGCAATCTAGGAGCTCTGAACCGCTTGCTTCAGAATCGCAACCATGAGCGCGGTCAAGAACCTTCGGGCTATGTTCGAGCAGAAGGGGGAAGCTAGTCCCCCGGACAGAGGCAGGTCGCCTGTTCCACACGGTAAGGCGCTTGCCTTTCCGGTCTAACGTTCGATGTTTTGCTTGGTGCTGTGCTCTACACACCGTGCGCATCGTCTTCCTACCTGTCATCACCAAGCTAACATCACCTTTCAGCCCTCAGCGACTCCCCCAGACCCCTTTCGAAAATCCGAACGAGCTTCGTGGCAATTGAGAAGGAAGGCAGGGTGGGAATCCAGCGCGAGGGCAGTCAAGACTCCATCTCTGCGCTTCGGAAGCACAGCGGCGACAGCAACGCGACAACGCCAACGACCGGAACGGAGAGATCGAATCCATTTGACGCCCTGGCCAAATCGCCTAGCAAGCTGGGTCCGCAGAACCAGTCAGTTTTCGGATCTCCACGAGCGAATACCGGCGCTCAAGATGTGGCGCGGCTAGCCGAAGCAAAGGTCGCCAAGGCTGAGCTTTCGCCCGCTGCGGTAGTAGAGCCAAAGGCGGAGCCCAAGGCAGAGGCAAAGCCGGAGCCAGAGGCGGAAAAGACGGAGGTCAAGCCGGAGCCAAAAGCAGAGCCAAAGCTGGAGCCAAAAGCAGAACCGAAGACGGAGGCAACGCCAGAGCCAAAGCCGGAGCCAAAGCCGGAGCCAAAGACGGAGCCAAAGACGGAGCCAAAGACGGAGCCAAAGACGGAGCCAAAGACGGAGTTGAAGACAGAATCAAAGGCACAGGCGAAGGCAGACCTGAAGTTGGAGCTGAAGCCAGAACCAAAGACGGAGGGGCCCAACGCGGAACCCAAGGCGCCAGTCAAAGGCAGAGCCAAAAACGCCAGAGGAGGGTTCGTTTGAGGCGGGGGCTTCACCCGCCAGTGCTGCCACGCCGCAAGTGGACACTCCGAATGGAGTAGCAAGCGGGAAAGAGCCGCAAAAGAAGGGAGCGAAGGAAGCCAGCAAGCCCATCGCACGCACTACAGAAGCCAACTCCAAAGCCTCTTGCCGTTGGGTCAGCTAGCAAGCCGATTGCAAAGCCAGAGAAGTCCCCAAGAGGCCCAAGGACCCCTGCCGCAACATCAGCCCACCATCCTGTTGTAAAGAGGACGCCTGAAAAGAAGCTTCATTCGGCCGAGAAGCCTGTCACCCCTCGAGCGACTCCAACATCAAAACCTGCCGGCCCTTCATCGGTCAAGAGACCACCGCCACTTCAGTCGTCTCCCGCGAATACCGGCTTTGTCAAGCCGAAGGTTAAGTCCCCGACGCGGCCCATCAAGCTCCCCACCGGCTTGACTACGCATACCGCTTCGTCCGGCTCCAAAGTCAATGCGTCTCGCCAGTCCCTGTCCCGTGCGAGCGGCACTGTCCACGACCCCCATACACGCCCAGCCAGCAGAACGAGCGCCTCCACTAGCGGCAGCGGCTCCAACAAAGCAGTGTCGGTAAGGGGGCAGACCTCCACCATTAACCGGTCTCGGCCAAGCCTGGGCCCGCCCCCGAAGCAGCCTGTGACGGATTATCCGCCGAAGAAGGAGAAGGAGGTCGACCAAGGGTTCCTCGCGCGTATGATGCGCCCTACGGCATCTTCTGCGTCCAAGGCTACCAGTAAGGCGCACATCAGCCCGCCGCGGAAGACTGCCTTGGCACCCAAGAGAGCAAGGTCAGTGCAGCCTGGGAAGAGGGCCGTTTCGAGGTCCACGGCCACTATTTCGACTTCATCGGCCGTGAAGGCGATCGACACGACCAACAGTGCTGAGGGCGAGGTCACTCCTGTCGCGGGGCAGGCTGGGGACGAAGCTGCCTCCCCCACCGAGGGAGACGCCGAGTCAGCAGTGGCAGCGGATGGAAATGCATTGGGGGCGGCGGCTGCGTAAGCATTATACCAAGAATTCTTTGTGAGCCGCCAGTGGCAGGCTATTTTTTTTTTTTTTACACCTTTTCTTTACAGCGGTTCTGTATATCTTTTAATCTCTCCTCTTCCTGTCCGCTTCGATTGGGGGCGCATAGCGTTTGTTGAGCAAGAGATACGTGTTTTATGATACCTGGTGGGAAAACAACGGGATTTGTAAGAGGGAGTTGACGATGGAGCATGTAAGCTAGTATAGCAGGCCACCAGGCAGGCGTTTGAGCGTTAAAGGAATGCAATTTTTGTTTAGTAGTAATGACCGGGACGATGATGGAATATGATACATTTGGCTACAAATTCGAGGCCCCTGCGAGCTGTCGGCACAGACGAACGAGCCTCAAGCCTGACCCGCTGTAGATGGTAGATCTGTGCGATCCGCCCTTGCAACCACCATCATTTGGTCACACCGCCAGCTCCTCGCCCACATGCATCGTACAGATTCTCCCATTTCCCTGCCCTTTTATCCCTCCTCCCATTTTCCCCCGGTTCCGTTCTAATATGCGGCTCCGGCCAATGCACACAAAGACATCCAAACCCCCACACACAACTCCCCCCCTCCACTCATCATGAAACCCGGCACAGCACCAACCCGCCCACCTTCCGATCCAGCGCCTCGCGCACCTCCAGCACGCCGCGGTCCGTGCTCACAAACAGCGTCTCGCCCAGGTTGAGCCCCTTGATGGGCCCCACGGGGAAGCCGCGCGCGACCTTGGCCAGCTGGGGCAGCGTGGCCGTCACCAGCCGGCTCGGCTTGGACACGGCCGACACGCTGAGCACCACGGGCCGGTTGTCCCAGTACTTGAGCCCCAGCCACAGCCGCCGCGTCGCCACATTGGCTGTGGTCACGGCCTCAGTTTCCGTGGCGAGCAGGGCTTCGGGCGGTGGGGGGCGGGGGCCGCCTCGTGTGACGGAGGCGATGAGGCCGGCGCGGTGGAGCGCGAGGGCCAGGCGTAGGTTGTATTTGGTGTTGGGGATGGAGGTGAGCCCGAGGCTGGCGCGCATCGAGTTTTGGAGGTGCACGCAGGCGTTGACGACGCCGGAGATGCCCATTTTGGATGGTTGGTGTGGGATTGAGGTTATGGAATATTCGGAGGCGACAGCCTCGGGACGGCGGAGGTCGGTGTCCCCTTCCTCGGGGGGATGCGTGACGATCGAGGGTGGTGGTTGGCTGATAGTCGGGTCAGAATTTGAGTCGTCGGAATAAGTTGGTTGTAATGGAGGCAGGAAACTTACTCAACGAGTGAGAGATCCTGGTCGACCTGGGTGATCCTGTGCGGGTGTCGTCGTCGTCGTCGAGTTCTCGATCACTACCAATCGTGATAAATTTCGGTGGACCAGACACACACGGCTTTGCACTCAATCCGGCTGCTTCCGTCAAATCGGCGGCGGAAATTTTGGCTAGGCACGCTCGAGGCACGTTGCAGGGGTGCAACGATATGGAAGAGGCCCGTGCTTCAGTGTCAAGTACCCCGCCAGAGCCATCCAAACACCATTGGCTCCCTGGCATCCCACCTTTAAGCGCCCGGCGGACCACTCCCCATGCTACCACCACTCCAGAGCTCCCGAAAGTCGGCTCAATGGCCAGACACAAGCGGGATGATCAAGGTTTGCGAAAGCTGATTTGATGACGAAGTGCCATTGGCGGCGCGGGGCACGCCGGAAGCCCAAGTGATGGCTCCTGCAGCAGGGCCCAGGAGCTCGCTGCTCGTCACACATGCACGCACCTGTGTGATCCTGTCGCGATTTATGCTTTCCCGTCCTCTTTTCTCTTCGTCGTCTTCCGCATTCTATCGCTGCCCGATTTTCTATTCTACCGTGTCGATCAAGGACAGTGAGCGACCAGATAACGTCCTGCGAACTTCGACACCCCCTAGCCCCCCTATCGCTTCCCCCTCACCTGCGTGCGGAGTTCCGCGAAGATGGCCGCCCGGCCGGGAGAGGAGCACGTCGCTACGCTGTGAGTCCTGGCTGCGATTCTTTGGAACTGTAAACAATATCGGCTGATCTAACACATCCGAAGCTACGGAGACATCCACTACTTTTATGGCCCGCCGACACACAACCCGCGCCATCACCGGTTCGACAAGGGCTCCTATGTGTACCTGTTTGAGGATGCGAACCAAGGGCGCGCGCGCATAGAAATTGCCAACAATCCTGGGACTGACGAACAGGATGCGTTTGACGGCTGTAAGCCTACCTTGCCCATAACAAGAACATGTGCTGATGGATGCCAATGTATCAGATCTCGACAGAGTCCACCTTCGTTACTCGTACAAACACACTTGCCTCGTAACACTCACTGTCGGCGAGGTCCAGGGGAATGATGAATGGCATCTGCCAACCTATGACCCTCACAACCAGAATAAATACCACTACAAGCTCCATTCGCTCGACATCTACTTCTGGATGCCCCAGGACGCTGTGCAGTTCCTCAACGGTATCAGGCGCGTGCTTCCGCCGCCGCAATGCGAGATCTTGGATGAGCCCGGGCCGCCGCCTCGCCACGAGGCCGAAGTGAGTTCAGTGGTGCAGAAACTCGAGCAGGCTGCCATATCCGGATCCGGTTCACTACAAGCTACACCCGCCAATCTGCAGCCCAGCGCTGCCGGGGCACCGTCCTTTCCCGGCCCGCCTATGTCAGCTGTTCATGGCTCAGCAGATGGGCCGTCGCCCCCGCCTCAACAATTCACCCCCATCGCTTACAACCCCGCCGCACCGCCCGCCCCTGAGGAAGTCCGTCACCGTGAGAAGACGCCGCCGCCCGAAGATGGGATCGGAAACCCGCTACACCAGACGCTTGCCTATGATGCGGCGACGCCATTCTCGCCCGGCCTTGTCCCAAGTGGGCTGGGCCCGCTCAGCCCGGGCATCCCTCCGCCGAATCTTCAGCACCCGCCGGGCGCCCCGATGTTCCCCGGCCCGCCCCAGCCCAGCCTTGCCTCGCCCGGCTTTGCGCCCCAGGGTTTTGGTTCCCTTGGGGGGCAAGCGGCGGGCATGGCTCAGCAACCGCCGGTGCACCCGGGTATTTCCCGCGCCGCCACGATGCCAGTACACGGCGGGGGCACCCCGCTCGCAAGCCCGGGACTGGCCAGCCCTTACGGTGCCGGGACGTTCCCCAGCCATGTGCAACAACAACAATACACGCCCGGACTCACGCATACGCCCACACCCCCTGGGGGTGGGGTAGGAATGCCTCCGGCGGCTGGGCGGGGGCAGGTGCCGCAGAACTATTCGGTGCACCAGCAATTTTATATCCCTGAGGGGGAGTACCAGCCGAAGCAGGAGACTAGGGGCAGGTTTGAGGAAAATGCGGGGAAACTGGAGAGGGGTGTTACTGGCATGTTCAAGAAGATCGAGAAGAGGTTCGGGTGAGCGTGGATATCTTGGGCGCTGTGGGGAGCGTAGTCAGATTTGGATAGGAGACATATATGACTTCTATTTGCCAACCAGCCCGTGATTCTTAGCGCGACCCGCGGATCTGGACTTGCCGTGGATCGTAAAAAGCTTTGCAGTCTCATTTTCTATCGAGATATTTCTGCCCCTCTTTTAAAACACATAACTCCAGATAGACAATTTATCCTCCTGACCCATAATGCAATACTGGTTGGCGGGATGTTAAGTCCCGACCACGCGGCGGAGGTCCGGCGGTTGACCACGGCGTAGTCTTTGCCAGGACGTCCCGTCTGGGGATTCCCAGGTTCTCGCGTTAGGCCCCCTTGCGCCTTGCCGTCCGTCATCTAGACCGGGCAATCCTTTGACGCTTCAAGGTGCGCAAGCAATCCATGCATCCAAGGCCGATCGTCTGTCACAGGCGACCGGCGCCCAACAATCAACCTAGCACGGCTTCCCAGCTCACCACGCAAGCGCCTCCCTCCCTCTCGTAGCCGGCTGCGCTCCCCGTTCCCTCCTCACCCGCCCCTCCCGTTCCCGCTCCTCCTCGTCCGCCCCCTCCCTCCTCACATCCCCCACCTCGTCCTTGAACACCTCCCAATCCACCCCATACCTCGCGGCCTCGGCCCTCACAATCCCACCCCACTTCCTCAGCAATGGATGCGCCTCCGCCACATCCGCAAAGACCACCTCCCCCCCCATCCCCGCCCCCTGGCTCCCCGCCACCTCATACCGCCAATTCCCATCCTGCGCCCAATACTCCCCATCAAACACCCCCGTAACACTCAACTCCCGCCTCGCCTCGTCCAACAACCCCTCAATCCGCTTCGCCTGCACATCCACCGCACTCCAACGGCCCCCATACCCATCACTTCGCTCCCCCCCCTCTCCGCTCTGCCCTTGCCCCGGCCCCGGCCCCGGCCCCTGCAATTGCGATTGCCCCCGCTGCGAAAGCGCCTGCAGCCCCACCGCGGCAGCCAACCCCTCCAGAACCCCCAAGAGCTGGCCCGCGCGCGCCCCGACCGTCGCGCCCAGGCCGTAGCCCTCGTCGAAGCCGCCCTGCGCCGTGCGGGCCTTGGCCAGCGTGATGCCGTCGCGGTAGCCGGCGGTGCTGTGCGCGGCGGAGAGGCGGGGGATGTCGCTTACTGTGGGTTCTGAGGGGTAATTCTGTTGGTGGTGGTGGAAGGGGGCTTGGGGGTCTTGCTGGTGGTGGTGGTGGTGAGGGTGAGGGGGGTGTTGGGGGAGGTAGGTGGGTGTGGCCCAGATGTCGTCGAGGTCGTTGTTGTAGCTGCCGGTTGTGGTGGTTGTGCTGTAGTAGTTGGTGGCGACGGCGGTGCCGTTTTCGGTCAGCATGTCATCGTGGACGCCGTCGTTGTGGTGGTTGCCGGCAGCAGCGGGATTGTGTGAGGTCATGGTGTGGAAGATGTCTGGGTCTCTGTCCTGAGAGGAGGCGTTGCGGAGGAGCATAGTTTGGGTTGACACCAAGTGAGTGGGTATAAATAGAGTGAGTTGTGTTTGTTGGTGCCGGTGTGTTGGTGAGTTTGCTAAGTCGTTGGTGTGTTGTTGGGAGTGTGAAACTCGAGGTTGCAAGCCGTGAAAAGCTCGATCGGGGTGACAAAGCAGTAACCCTAACCCTATATGGATCTTGACCAGTCATCCGATGGGGTCTGGACCACCACCTATATCGTCAATGACAGCCCACGAGCTCAGACCAGGAACAACATGGTCAGGTCCAGCATTACTCAACATTGTTTTTCCTCATGAATTTTATCTACCTAATAATGAATGGATGTCGGGGAGTTGGCGCCCGAGAAAGCTAGGTTTTCTTACAAGTCGTCTAGACCTGTCTCGACTCTCCTTTGCTGTTTTGTCCCATTCGGTGTTTTTTATTTTGATTTATTATTTCTCACAGTACTTGCACCCAACAAGTTTGATTGAAATTGAAATGAAATATCTACACCGATTCTTTGAAGATGGTGAGGTGCTGAGCCTTTTACTGAGGCTGAGCTGTGTCACCCGTCGGGCGACCGACTCTCAACACGCAGGAGCCTTTCAAGCTTGCGGCTGCTGCATATCTGGTGTGTCGCTCCCAATTCAATTTCACCCGATCCGCCTCGTCCCTTACACATTCTTCAAATCTCCTACGGCTGTATTCCGAAGGGGCCTGTAGATGTTAGCCACCTAAGGAACCGAATAGTCAACCCACCAGGACCTACCTGCGCAACCTCGCAAATGTAATTCGCCGAGGGTCAAGCTTAACAAGAGCCCACTCCAGTACCCAGTGATCCGGGTTTACTTGTAGGCCTGAAGATGCATACACATTACCAACGATACGTGATGCCTCGCAGCGAGCTTTCTGGACGTGAGCCTCTTTGGCCCGGGTAGCTGGGAGTTTGATGGGCCTGAAGATTTTATCAGCGGTCAGGTCCCAAGAGTTCCCCTTGTTAGCCGGAGAAACCACGCTCGACACGCCCGGGCCAGGTTCGGTGGGCATCTCGAAAGCTAGAAAGATTAGTCCATGTTGATTTGTGTAGAGGAAAATACCTACAAGAAAGAACATGGTTACACGTCAACCCAAAGTGCTCAGGCGTGCCGTTCGTCCAGATACGAAAGAAAGCACCCAGCGTACTGACACCTTGTGAGTCACCCTCAAGACCGAGACACGAACCGGGTGGAGGATACGCCCCGTAGGACATCCACTTTAGTTCTTCGGCTAGAGCCTATTTGGGATACACATCAGCTTCGGGTTGACGGCCACCAACCAGCAATATCGCCTGTTCCGTAATCTCGAAAGCAATCTCACCAAATCTCGAGTCATACCTACACATACAAGTCAGATTGATTACTACAGGTTGAAAGAAAATAGTTCGCTCGGAATTTCCGCTTACTGTTCCAAGACGAAAGAGAGTTCAACAATCGCCGCAATTGAATCAGACTGCGTTAATGGGCCTGGCCTGGCGGTGACCAACAAGGCCGTCTCTGTCTCCTCTTCCCCTTTGAACCCGATGCGATAAGCACCAAAGGACGTTAGGAGATCCGGGTCGATGCAGTCGATAGCCTCCCGGATGAGACCTCGAAATGTGTTTTCGGTGTCACTACAATCGAAGTCCTCACGGACGGCATTGTTCCTGCTGCCGGTTGATGTAGTGCTGGATAGTTACCTACCTAGGTAATAAATCGAGCTATCAGAGTTGGAAACCAAAGCTTATTCATATAGAAATCATGCACGTTGGTAGTTGGTTTAATATCGGTTGCTAATCACAATATCACGCATTTGGCTGGCAAGCCACAAGGGCCTCCCTTGACATCGTTATCCTCTGTTGGGCCGGAGTCTTTCTTCGGTTCCTCCTGCTTTTTTGAGGTGGCTTCCTTGGAAACCGTGCTCTCTTTAAGCCCTCCTTCCGACCGCCCATTAGCCACGCCGCCAATACCGTTTCCGTCGTCACCATCAGGTTACGCACCAAAAGCCTTGGCGACCGTCTTGTAGAACTCCTCGCCCTGGATGGTGGCCAGCTCCCTCTCCTTCTCGGACGGCTGGCGGCTGCCGTCGGAGGCGGCGAAGGTGCCGGCACCCCAGGGGCTGCCACCGCGGGCCTCATCCAGGTTTGTAAGGATACCGAACGCCTTGGCGTAACCGAGGGGGACGTAGATGATGCCGTGGTGGGCGAGGGTGCTCATGGCGTTGATGGCCGTTGACTCCTGTCCGCCACCCATACCGGCAGTGGAGATGAAGAGGCCGGCGTACTTGCCGTGAAAACCGCCAGTCGCCCACTGCTTGCCGGTCTGGTCCCAGAAGGCCTTCCACTGGGCGGGGAAGTTGCCGTACCGTGTCGGGATGCCCAGGAGGAAAGCATCGTACTGTTGAAGGGTGCTGGGGTCGCTGAGCACCGGGATATCAGACTTGGGAGGGGCGTGCATCTTGGTCAGGACCTCTTGGGGGAGAGTCTCGGGGATCCTATGTCATTGGTTAGTTGGGTGATCTGTTGGGCACACCACGACGCAGATATTGGCGAGGGACATACTGGAACAGGTCGGCGGTCCCGCCGGCTTTCTCAATACCAGCCTTCTCGGCCTCAGCAAGCTGCTGAATATGGCCATACATGGAGTACTATTAGGCAAGCTCCATTAGTTACTGTAGGGCGCGCACTTCACACTTCCCGTCACCACCCGCAGTGCCGCCAAGCTTGGCGCGGGGCAGGGGAGCCGAAAACGGAACTTACAAAGACGATTGCGATCTTAGGAGCCATCTTGGGCAACGTTGAAGCGAGAATTTAAGAGAGAACTTGAAGGGAGTCTGGTTTGGTAGCGGGCGATGGGATGGCAATTGTTTGGATTGTGTTGTGGTGGAAGATGAGAGAGTAAATAGGTCACCATCACAAGTGGGAAGAGCGTTCCCCGCCTGCTTTATACGACGGAGCTTGTTTTGGGAAGGGGCAACCCGCCCAGCTCGTAGGTGCCGATCCCCCCTTTGGCAGGTCTCAAAGGCTGCCTGTTTCGCCCGTGTAGCTTCCGTTACAGCCCAGCCTGCATTCGTCATGATCGGATAATCCACCTCAAATCACGACAGACCCCGGGCCTTCAATCCATCTCGGAGACGAAAGGAGGGGCAACCTACCTGGGTACACAGAAACAATTCCGAGCAGCGTCAGGGGGCCCTTGATCGACACGATTATCTCCTTAGAACAAACAAACGCCAATATTCGTACTGTGTATGTCTGCATGACAGGTTCACAGGCCAATCCACCTTGGATACCTATTCGTTGTCCGTCTGGCCGGTATGTATTCCGATCTGGTGGGGGGTTTGTCGGCCCTGTGTTCCTGGCCACTTCCCGCCACCCATTCTGGGCGTTCTGGGCCTGGCAAGCCTGGCAACCCCTCGCATGGCTGCATGCCCCGCTGTTGTCTGGCTCCAGTTTTGTATCTAATCGCTGAGTAAGGGCTTACAGCAAGCGCTGCAAAAGCCCACAGTAGAGCGAGATCGCGCACCTAGCTCGTCATTTCTTTTGCTTGAGCACTTCTTTGTCACACTGACAAATCTCGATTGATTCGTCGAGGAGTCTGTATGCTTGGCTGCAGCTGAGACAAGCTCGCGGCACGGCCTCGGAGTGGAAGCCGACATGCTGCAGGAGAATTAACGATAGTTAGAACCAATGACAACACGCTCGATGTCTCGAAGCACGGGTATTTTTCTCTTCTCGATTTGCAACAACCTCACTGCGAGAGGTCGGTCTCCTTCCCCGCCAGGACCTCATGGTTACATCGGGATACTGCCAGTGCGCGTAGTCTCGCTTGATCGCTGTGTGGTGTTCTGTTTGACAGCGAAACCCCCGCTCGACACCGCCGCGCTCTCCACTCACGGGCGCACCTTGTTGGCGGGCACAGCGGCTAGACCGCAACCTAGCGAAACACCATTCGAGAACCCCAGGCACTTGTTACGTTACTCAGCAGCATATCATCGCTTACTTGGCGTCCGGTGGGTATCCGACGAGCTTGATGGTATCCACAACCTACAGAATGTTAGGCCGTTAGGGGTTATCGTGTGTTTCTGAGCCGTGGCTGACACGAGACAGGAGGCAAGAGACGGGAGATAGGAGCGACTTCTCCGCGGGGTGAAACTAAACGCCACCGTTGTATTATGTCTCTTCTATTATGTTTTAGTCAAACCCATCCCAACCCCCGAAACGCCTGCCCATAAAGGAACCAAAGGAGCCAATGGGAGGATATGCCACCCAGCGTGGCCGCACTCTCAGCTCAAGCCTTTCCAGCCCCCCTTCCGTCTGTACACGGCAAATCTTGATGCGCAATAGAACGCTGTGGCCACGATGAGGCCAAAGGCAGAGTACAAAATCGCCCCCAGCCACTGCGGATTGTCGTTGCTGCCCAGAATAGCGCCGGCAATTGGAGTGCCTACGAGGATGGCAATGCCTGAAACGACGAAGCACAAACCCATCCTGGCTCCCAATCGTCCCATATCCGGCGCGAGCCCGACGATGACGCTCGGCGTGAGGCTGACTACGGCGCCAGAAAAGGCGCCATACAGCAGCGCGTATACCACGGACCCGCCGATATCGTGGATCCCCAGCCAGCCAAACGCCAGAACTGCGCTGGCAACGATGCATATGATGAGCACGTTCAACGACCCGTATCGGTCAGCCAGTGCGTTGGGGATGAGGCGCCCAAAGATGGAGCCGGTATTGAGCAATGTGACGAGGTATGGTGCGAATTCGGCGCTCACAGCGTTGCGCGACTTGGCAAATAGCGTGAGGTAGAAGAAGGTCACGTACAGCGTCAGGAACGCGAACAGGCCGGCCACGACAAACAGGATATACGGCACGTCGCGGAAGGCACTGCGGTCGATCAGCGAGCGCTTTCCGGCCGGCGGCACGCGCGTGCGCATGAAGACGATGGGGATGGCCGACATGGCGAGCAGGATGAAGGCGATGGTACGCGTTGCCCACCCGAACCCGACCTGCGGCTGCAGTCGAGTAAAGACGATGGGGAAGATGACGCCCGCGACGGGTGAGCCCGCGCTCGATATCCCCAGCGCCAGCGCCCGGTGCCGCGAGAAGTACTGGCCCATGATGGCGGCTGACGGCAGGAAGGTCAGCCCCATGCCGACGCCCATCGCGACCCCCTGCGCCAGCATCACTTGCCAGTACGCCGTGCACAGCGACGTCATGAACTGGCCCAGCACGATCAGGAACAGGCCCACCACTAGCAGGTGCCGGAAGTAGCCCGCGTCGTAGAGCGGGCCCGCCACCACCCCGACCAGGAAGAGCAGCGATGCCTGCGTCGACCCGATCCACGAGATGTCCGACGACGAGTGGTCCCGCAGCAGGTCGGCCTCGTAGTAAGCTTGGAACACGCCGAACGTGTTGATGACGCCCCACGTGTTGACGAGGATCGCCGCTGACCCGACTACCTGCAGCCAGGCTGTCAGCCCGCCGTCAGGGACTTCATCCGCCGCGGGGGGCTGGTGACTGGCAGGACTGGCGATGGCATCGGTACCCGCGGCAGCTACAGCGGCGGCCGCGGCGATTGGGGGTGCCGTGACGGAACTCTTTTCGTCGGGCATGTCGTCGGGCATTCGGATGGATGGGTCCACTTCGGTCCGGTCCGACTCGGAGATGTAGGTCGTCTTTTCCGTGTCTTTCTCCATTACTTTCTCCATTGATGCTGCTTTCATTCGGCTTGGCTCTTCGGGACGGCCGCGAACTAGCCGGGTGGGTAGGACTTTTCGGCGCCCAAAAACTTGTGGTAGGGGATGCTGCCGAGCAGATATCAACGGATCCGCTTGCTCTCCGCACCTGGCCGCCGTTCGTGTTTTACTGGCAAACCCCAATGTGTGTTTGCTTCAACACAACCAAGTGGTTCTTGATCTGGTCCTTGAACTGGTCCCTTCTTTTTACCGGGAATCTGATCTTCTTTTATTCACTTCCTGACTAAGTGCAATTCATTTCGTACCCGACTTGGTTCGGTTCGGGGATAATCAGGGCGTAGTGGTCCCCCAAGGTGCAGTTTTCCCCCCTTCTTACGCTGGAAGGCGGCTCGGATTCCTATCCGGGTTAGCAGGCTCGATCCGTTGGAGCCCCGGATGCTTAGTTCGGGTTTTCGGCGCTTCGGCTTTTGAACTTTCTGGAAGTTTTTCCCGTGGCCGCGCTGGCGTTGCGTTTGCTTCTCCCTTGTTTGCCAGGCGTGGTCTGAATAAGAACCGATTACTCTTCCTCCGATTACAGAGCAAGGGACGGCGTCGAAACATATATCGGCCGATTTGAGCATTCCGGGAAGCACATCTGCCGGGACGGCCTTGCGCCCCCGCCCCACCTTCATGTTGGAGCCGAGGGTGCCTTTTTGTTTAGTGATATGATCGCGATCACATTAGTCAACATCCCGGCCAGGCTCTGGTGCGATGAAGACAAAGGCGGAACCTCAGTTTCCGTAGCATGATCCTATCCGAGACGTGTATGCGATCTGAGTTGTCGGTCCGGGCCGTCGCCGGTCGACTACCGATTCGGGAACCGATAGTCATGCGGGGCCGTTGATGCCCGTTTGATGCTGCGGGTTCTCAGCTCTGTGGGGCTTCATTCAGCTTAGTATCGGGAACATCACATGTTGACGGCTAGGAGCGGTGGTAGAGAGCGGCTTTGGAAGAGGATAGCCGTTATGGACGGATATTAATGGCCTGCTTGCAGACTGACGGCTATGGTTCGAGTCCAAGCTGTTGACAAGTTGTTGGGGTTAAGTACAGTACCTAGTGAGAAGAGGGGGACCAGCAGGGGAAAAGATTTCCCCCTTCACGCCAATGCGGATTCAATATGAGACACAGAACTCGGAATATCTAACTAGGTTTGTAGCAAGAAGCTATCCCAATAAAATGCAGCTAACCAAATGTATCTTTCGAACTCAAAAATGCCAAGGGGGATGTGATATGCAGATGCGCCCCGAACACATGTTTCTAACTCCTCCCCGAACCTGGCAACCAACCCAAAAATCCAACCATGTCCAGCGCTCCGGGACTCCGCCACAAGCACAACAAAAATAAGGGAACTATACATATACAGATTCCAAGCCTGCCTCGGGCCTAGGGTATCCAACCGCCGATCCCAATGCCCGCCCCTTTTCCAACTCGTCATTTCCCCATCACCCATCTACTCTGAACCTTCAGCATATTAGAATATATAGCAATCGACACCCCCTCAGCACCTTCACCCGCGCCTCACGGCCTCGCACTCGACGGTTCAATCACAATCTGCGGCACCTGCGGGCTCCCCGACGAAGGCGACGAAGGCGACTGCGCCGCCAGATCCTCCAAGTGCGTCGACAGCCTATTCTGATTCCTGCGCTCGACCGACGTCCGACCGGGGTAGTCGGGCGGGGGATCCGGGTAGGGGCTGACGGGCCGCGAGACGTCCGAGTTGCGCCGCGAGTGCATGGGCGTGAACTCGTCCAGGCTGACCTCGTCATACCCGGGCGGCGGCATCCCCATGTCGCCCATGTCGGCGTCCTCCGGCTCGATGATCTCGGGCGGCGAGCCCGCGTGCGGCGTCGTGCCCGGGCTCGGGGTGGGGATGCGCGGGGTGGTGGCGGCGGAGCTCGCGCGGGATCGGGATCGGGCGCGGTTTGCGCTGGTGAGGCTGTACCCGCCGGTGCCGCTTCCGCCGGTGGTGAGCACTCCCGGGGAGTCCGGGCGGCCGTGGGCGGTGAGGGAGGTGTCGATGCTGAGGGTGGCGCTGGCGCTGCGGTCGCGGCGGCGGAAGAGGCTGTGGCTGTCGGCGGCGATGCTGGCTGTGTCGGAGAGCAGGCCGACGCGCTCGGTGCTCTCGGTGCTGTTGGCGCGCACGCGGGTGCCATCGGCGCGCGCGATGCCGACGTCGGCGTACGACACGCTGCTGACGGCCCGCTGGCGCGTCCCGCGGATGCGGTCGTGCTCGCCGCGCAGCTCCTCGATCTCCGACGTGTTGCGACCGGCCGACCCGCGGGTTTGTTCACGCAGCTCGCGAAGGGCCACGGCGTCGTTGGCCTCACGCGCTCGTTGTCGTTGGCGCCGGCGTTCTTCTCGCTCGGCGATCTGTCGCCGCCGTGCTGCTCGGATCTGGTATAGTGCCTCCATCTCCTCGTCCCGCAGCGCTTCCTCCTCTTCTGCTGTCCGCATTTCTACCACCACATCGATACCGTCTCGCTCTCCTTCCCGCCCGAGCACCTGCTCGCTGTCGGTCGCCTTGGGCCGGTACACGGGGAGCGTCATGACACTGCGGACTGAGGTGTTGCGGTCGACGCCAGCGGTGCTGGTGTCGCTTGTGGTTTGGGAGCGCGTCTCGGTGGCGGTGGCAGTGGTGGTGGAGTGGGAGCCGCCTTGACTGTGACGGTTTATTTGGAGGGTGTTTGGGTGGTCATCGTCGTTCCCTGCTTGCTGGTAGGCATGTTTGCGGTTGTTGTATCTGAAGTAGAAGTGACGGAGAAAGAAAAATAGAATGATGGCGAGGGCGATGCCGCCCAATACGATTACTACAATCTTGAAAACGGTCGGTCAGCGTGGAAATCGATAAGAGGAACGGCATTTCATACTTGGATCTCTTTCGAGTTTCCCTTGTCACGACGCTGTAGTGTTGAGACCGGATTCCTGAAAAAGCCATTGTCGACTTCCCGAGACAGCACAACCGCCGGAAACTGCGGGGCCATGACCGCGGGCGAGGGAGCGGCGAAGCCGGAAGTGAAGGTTCAATCGAAGACGGTGTCTGCCCGGCTACGAAGGACAAAACCTCATGCGCATCGTGCGCTTCCCCACACGGGGGACGAAGAAATGTTTGCCGACCGGCGATACTTGGTTGCACCAAGTACAACGCTATTGTATGGACAAGGGTCAAAGTCCGAGGCACGAATTTGGGGGCTGGCGTGAGGAGGGGTTCTCGGGCGCGTGAATCGGGAGGTCAGGGTTCGAGACGGTGGGATCGCTGAATAAGTTAATGGGAGGCACCAAGTAGAAAGGTCGAAAATCACCGAAGATTATCGACAATGCGAACGGAAGAACATCAAACAATGAGGGATTGGGCTGTGGACGAAGGGGAGGCCAGGCCGGCGGCAATGGAGTTGTTCTTTTGGCTCGCGGTCCCTGCGAGGTCGAGGCACTGCTGCCCGCCAAGTCTGGCCGCTTCATCCGGTAAGGCTGGCCGTCCTTACAGGGGCCTGCTGGCCGGGGGGTGGCACCGGGCATTGTGAGAATCGCTTAACACAGTTAATTGGTGAACCCACAGAGCTCCGTGGGGTGGAGTCAGCAAAGGCTCCTTGACATTTCCTCTGAACCGTAAACCGGGCCACCGCGTTGCGTTAGTTTAGCTCGGAAAACCGATCGAGGCGCTTAACCATTACGCGAGGGAAGTTTTTTTACGCGACGAAACTTTGGGGTCACAAAAGAAGTGCGCTGCGCCGCTGAATCGAGAGAAACTCCTTCGATGGGATCGGCGTGCGTAGGGCAGAGATGGTAGCTACAGTGGACCTCGCTTCTGTTCCGTTCCAGCTTGCAACAACACCAAACTGATCAACAAGCATGGGTTACAGGTATTGCTGATACGCACAGCGTATTTTCACCCACAGGCCCTGGTGGCCAAGGCAATGGAACACATTCGGTCCCGGGCCCCACGTCAGGACATCAAGGCTTGCTTGAATTGAGCATGGTCCCGCCGACCAAACGATGGAATCAAGGCAAGTGCCGCCGGCTTGGTCTCATATCCCTGTGAGAAATTTCAACGGTCGACTTCACCCGAGGAGATGCGACGCTGTGAGGCGTCGAGGGAATCCTGGTGTCTGTCTGCCTTCCCTTGCGTGCTTCCTCTGCCGATCAAGGCGCCTGAATTGCCCAGCTGGTTTGACAAGCGGCGTTCCGCGTGGCTGGGACGTCAGAGGAGACGGCAGTGCCCCCCAGCTGAGTGCATGCAGGAAGGACCACAGGCAGAGCCCCTTCTGGAACTGGGCACCGAAACTTTGACCACCCCCTCCAATTGGAATCCTCTCCCCCCTCGCCGTTGATCGCTTTTTCCAACGTCCATTTTCTCCCCGCTGAATTATCTCGAAAAAAAACTTGGGGAAATGTCGATTGTGGTACCTGACAGCAGCAGGTCTCAGATCTGACAACCTTTCCAAGATTATGCAACCATCTTATCCCACCCTCCCTGACGCGTCAGCCGCAAGTTTGCAGTAGCCCGTTCCCCTCGCAGCAAGCAATCATCAAGTAGCGGACCAATCCGCGACCAAGACCCGAGGCTTTCGCCAGAGCGTCGCATCAGCCATTCCGTGCAGCATGACCGTCGGCTGCTGTCCAATCGCTGGCCTCGTCAAGCTACGCTGACCGGCTGATCGGGCATGCCGTTTAAGAACTCTTGGGGCTGCTCCTTAAGTCTTGCTGCTTGTTTCGCAGATAACCCTGGCGATCTACACGGGAGAACGTGTGCAGTGTTAGGGTTAGTCTCTTCGGTTAGTGAGAGTCCTGGCAAACTGAACACTGCCGACACAAACAATGCAACAACGCAGATCGTAGACAAATCCAGCAATAACGCCGCAGACAAGGCACAGATGCCGATACTTGACTCCGGGGTTCAATAGGCCCTGTGTCGTCTTCTCCGAAGCCGTCAGCAGCATTGCGGACGAATTACTCGATCATTTTGAGTCGGCTTCGTTTCTTCTCAGGACCAAGATAAACCGGAGAAGAAAAGGCGAGACGACATAAACTCAACGATAGTTACTAGGAACCCAAGATCCCGCCTGAGCCAGAAAACCGATGATATGAGGCAACTGGGCAGGGTAACCGTCACCCCATCATTCAAGACAATAGCCACGCTACAGACCATGAGATGAATATACCCCTTGATCCGTCAGATCAAAAAATGTCCGTTTGTTTCATCGCTAACCCGGCTGGTGGTAGCCCCTTACGGTCTCATCCCCCCCCCCCCTTTTTTTTTTCTCGCGCCGGTGCAAGGAGATTGACTCGTCCTCAAGATCCGAGTCACACCTACCGCCGAGTGCCGGATGCGGGAGGTGAGGCCGGGTTTGGCCGGACCCCGGATCGGAGCAGCGGACCAGCGGCCCCACTTAGGTACTTGCACATGCTCACATCCCAAACACTCACTGCAATGGGCAATTCCCATTTTATCACTCTCTTTCGGCAATTTCTGTCCGATTCTGTTCTTTGGCCGTTTTAGTCAATCGACAGTTCAAAAGTTCAACAACGTGTGTCGAGGCGATTACTACATCACGACCAGCCTACTAGAGTCTAGGTACATACCGTCTTATTCGATCGATTATTAGACTCAATTCAACCTCGGTTCCCCTCATCGGGTCCATTGTTCCAGATTACGTCAAATACCATGGCTACGAACGTATCAGCCGTCGAGGACCCCGTCGTGAAGCAACTACAGGAGTACACTACGTGCGTGAGCGGGGTCTGGTGACTGCCACGGAGGATACCTGATTACAGGTACTCATGATTCATTTCCATACAGATGCGATGTCTCGGACGCCCTGGTCAAGCTCAAAATTCACAATGGCGGGTTTCTTCCCGGCATCACCATGTGGTCGCCCCAGCGCCAGGACGGGCTCACGAAGATAGTTGGGCCGGTGTATACTGTCCAGTATGCCCCGCTGGATGACGAGAGGCCCAAGTGGCCTAGTCATTACGTGAGCTGCGCCCTGCTTCGATTGAACTTAAACAAGTCTAATACACAAGATAGATTGATTCCATTCCTGCCGGCGCTGTTGTCTTCGTGACATCCAATCCCGGCACGTCGAATGCTCTTTACGGAGGGTTAATGAGCACCCGGGCTAAGGCAAGCGGTGCCGTGGGCTCCGTCATTGATGGCCGCTTCCGGGATCTGCAGGAGCAGAAAGATCTGAACTACCCAGTGCGTGGCTACCTTCCACGGGGGTCGAACCCGGTTTGAAAAGAAACTAATCCAGGTCAGGTATTCGCTCGTGACGTGGGTACCACGCCGCCCGGTCCCCTGTTCAAGTTGTCGCGGTTGACGAGCCGGTCAAAGTCTGCAATGATGGCCAAGACATCGTCATCCATCCTGGGGACTACCTGATTGGGGACGTCAACGGGGGTGGTGGTCTTGCCCAACGGACTTGCTGAGCAGGCTTTGCCGCTCATGGCGAAGCAGGTTGAGGCAGATTCAAAAATGG